CTGTAATTGTGTTAATGACCTCATGACACATTTTAACCTCTAAAGTCTAATGTTGAGTTCCTAGTTATATGGCTCGAATCAAAGTCGCAGCATAACTCTGTTCCTAATCTTATAAAGTTACAGACCCATGGCTCATATGAAGACCTTTATTACCATGTTCAAAGTCTTTTGTCATATTGTTATTAAACTCATGACGGTGTTCGTTACTTACATAAATCTATGTACAAAATCATGAACTTGTCTTAATGATCTTGTCATAGTTCGTGTCTAATGACCCTGTCTCATAGTTCCAAGTCAAATAACCAGTCAATATAATCATTATCATGATTATGAACATGTATAAAGTAACAACCTGTACCAATTGTATTTAGGCCATTGGGTTAAATCCTAGGTAAAGTAACTTTTTAGGTGAAAGTTCGGTTAACCAATTGTATAAAAGTTTGGTTTATTTTAACCAGGATAATTATATGGTTAACTTTAACCACTTGTTAAGGTTTATATTTTATGTCCTTGTTTAGTTAATACAAGCATAGTACTAATCAGAAAACAGAAATAAAAGAACAAAGTGTCAAAAAAAGGAAAGAAACCGTCTTTATGAAGACTAGTTTTACAAGTGCCATTAGAATACATAAGTATGATACATTCATTTATATCATAGAAATAGATTTGTGCAACATTATTTCATGCAAATATAAATATATATAGAGAATATTCAAGTTTTTCGTGTAAATACGAAACCGCCACTCATGAAATATTTATTTTTATATCATAAGACGAAAATAAATCCTGTATTTATAGAGAAAACTTTATTTTCTGTTTATTATATACATTTTTCTTGTTTTAGATATTATAATTTGAAATACTTCCAATTAAATATTATGAATTGGCTGAATTAAGAAGAAAGTAGTCTGGCAAGACACCAGTAATAATTCGAAAAATATGTTTCACTGCAGTGAAAAAAATAATGTTTTACAGAATGAAAATGCGCATTTTAATTCATCAATATTTCTTAATATTTCATTTATAAGTATATAACAAAACACGGTGCTGGAACAGTAAATATCAACGAAGAAAATTAATTGGTTGCAAAAGGCATTTTCTTTAACTCGTTGATACCGCAAATGCTGAAGTAAATCAAATAGAAATGAAGACAAAATGCGAGCAACATTTTGGTCTTTTTACAAGCAAGTACAGATGCCTCCTTCATAAGGCAAGGAAATCCGCTGTTAATGGACATTATATTGTGGTATAAATCTAAGGATTACTGTTCATTCATCATGATCAATTTGCGGTAAATACCATTTTATATCTGGTGCAGGAAGTTTAGTCAGTAAATGCGCATTAAAATGGAAATAATTTGAATGCAGTGATTTTAATTTACATTTTAATTTGATACAGATAAGAAAGGTATTTTAATGAATACACATTTTTAAATTGATAAATTTCCTGTCGGCTTTTTATCATCTGTTGAAAGGGTTTTGTCTTATAAGGGCAACCCACGTTATCTGCAAGAAGACCACAAAACTTGTCAACATTGTCAAATTAGTCAAAAATTTTGACAGGTGGTTTGGGTTTACACTTTGTGATAAAGATAATTCTGAGTCATACAAAATATTCCTGAGGTGAGCATAGCTTGAACCAATCCCGACTCCTACCAAACTTCTAAAATTGATGTCAAGGTAATGTTTGAACAGAATACGATGACAATTCAGAAATTTAGAAGACTTTCTTTATAACATTACTCTGCTATGTTGACAGAAATAATGTCAGTGTATTGTCGTATAATTTTGCCATCTTACCACCAGTTTGATAACTTTTGATGACTCTAGAGGGTCACAAGAGAGCCAGACGCCGAACGATAACACGAAAATACGACAAAGTCAACTTACATTGTGTCGTACTTTCCCACCGAGGGTCGCAAAAGCGACAGCACGAAGATACGACAAATTCAACATTCTGTTGTACTTTCGCTCCTCGGGGCGTAAAAATAACAACATGAAAATACGACAGATAACTTCGTGTCGTACTTTCATTCCATGGGGCGCAAGGCGAAAACACGATAATGCGACAATATGGTGACTTTGTCGTATTTTCGTGTTTTGCATGGCGCCCCAAGGTGCGAGGGCACAAATCAGCCACCATATTTTGCTTGCATTATATAAACCTTAATGGAGATCACAAGCGCAAACTGATTGTTACTGATAATGTGTTACTTAGTTGAAACGAGAACGAAGAATTCACAATCTCTTTCTATGGACTTCCTGACGTAAGGAATATTTTGCACAGAAAACATAAAGGTATTGACTGCACCAGCGGGTTGGTAAGGAAAAAAAACGAAAATAGATAGTGTGTTCTTATCTTGTGTTTATCACGTACCTTGCTTCCAGCGGGAATTATTGCATCATAAAGTAATTTATCATAAAGATAAAGAAAGTTTGCAACTCTCAAGTAAAATGTTTTCAATTTATTTAAAAGATAACGAAATTTGAATTCATTTGTTTTAATGTTCAAAGAATATTGACAATGTTCAAATAAACATAGTCATATAACTTATCATTGATTATACAGAATTAAAGATTCATCGATGAAGAATTCTTTACAAACTGATTATTTGATAAACTTTTATTATTTATTAAATTTTGATCAAAGGAATTTTAAGAGGCTTGGTTTTAAATATTTCATAACTTCCCAACGGCATAGTTGTCTAAATATTTCCATGGGAGAGTGTGTATATTTACTTGATAATGATTTTATCTCATGTCTCTAACGAAAAGAAAATCCAAATTCAATTATTTATTTGATGTGTAAGAAGAAAATCTTTATGTAAATAATAATGACTTTTTCTCTCTTAACATTCTTGTGCTGTATTATTAAATAACAGAGCGTTTAATTCTATATATAATCCATGTTACGTGCATGTTTCCAAAGACAATATTACATTCCAGCAGGCAAATTACTTTACAAAGCTTAGAGAGCAAATATCAGGAGCAATCGGTCGCAAAGATTTGTGCACGTATTAAGTAAAATAGTAAAGAAATAAATGACCATTGGCAACACAACCATGGAAAGCATTATGCTCATGATGTACTTTGGTACCATATGGCCTTTGCACCGAGTTCATTAGAGTAAAGTAGACCGGTTACGAACCAGACTCCTTGGAAAGTGTTTACAGTAAGAAACCATTTAAGGATATTCATCCGCCAGTAAACAACTTTGTAAGATTGGCAAATAAAACAGATAACAACTTTGATCCATTCTAAACTTTAAAGTAAGTCGTGGGCTTCGTTTTTGGTTAACGTTTTGATGGAAGTGAAGTGAGCTTCGGAATTTAAAGCTCAATACAAATATTAAGTATCAATGTATGATAGTGATTTGTAAATATTGAAACAGTCTACCAGAAAGCCGTAAAGTAAATAATCTTAAACATAATCATAACTATAGCCATATCAAAAAAGAAATCTTTGAAATCCTATCCAATTAATCTCTGATCGTGTCCTTTTTTGTCACATATAGGGTACATCTGTTTGATTTTTATTTTACAAAATAGTGTGATTTTCTTTGAAATCCTTTTTTATGATCAATTAATAATACAAACGACTTATTAATTGTCCCTTTTCAATTCAGGTTAAAGACGTGTTTTCGCTGATTCGAGTATAAATCTTTAAAAAAAGAAATGAAATGACCCTCAAACTACTTAAATCGGCTACAGTGACCCACACTGACCTGCACCAGGCTCGAGTGGATACCAAAAAGGGTGAAATATAAAAGGAAAAGAGAAACATCAAAATATTTTCTACACCTTTTGATTTTTAATTAAGACAAGTTTCAAGACTATTCCGGAAGTGTCGTATTCATTGGAGTGCTTGATTATAATGAAGAAAGAGAAACCTTTATAATAATATCATGTTCTAAAACCTGAGCCAACAGTAAACATAGTGATTTATTGTTCATTAAAGTATTATAATATTAGAAGAAAGATGTGAACGTCAAACATGATAGTTTTAACTCAGATATTTTATATCCTTCATGAAAATGATATGTAAATAATGCATTTCAGAATAGTGTTTCACGTAATAAATTAGTGGTTACATTTGGTGCGACTGTTGGAGAATTAATATTGAAGCCACATACATATCACATATCAGTAAGATTTACAAGATCAATGAGTTAAAGGTTTAAGGTCACTTTCAACTTTAAATTTTAAGCGAAAATTTGCGCGTGTCATGTAAGCATTATTTCTCATACAAATGCAGATTTGATATGTGCTGATAAGCAGACAGTTCGTAAGCACACAATTGTTTGTCCAGCCTGCATCAGTGTTGCTAATATCTCAGTGAAGATCGCTTAACTGACAACGTGGATATTGGTCCAAATTTTTATAAAATATTTTATATCTGTTATTTGTTCTGAAATATGGAGAATCGATTTTTTTGGGTTCTTTGGTTCATTTATCTTTTAACTTATTACTTACTTATTTGTAAAATATTACCAGTACTTATTATAAAAAAACTCAATCACAAGCTTAATTTTCATTAAAAAAAATGTGAACGAATATCCCGGAATAAAAATAAAGAAGATTGAGACATTTTTAGATCATAATGCTTGATAGTTGGATAGTTTTCAAATGAATTGTTTTAAATTTGCTTTTACGTGTTTTTTGGGTTTTTTTGTATTTTTTCTGAAGATAAAAGTGTGTTTTAAGAACGAAGTGTATTTTTTGTTATCACATTAAGAATGGAAACTCAATACTGTCAACTTATAACTGCATGTTTGATTTCAAAATATTGTATTTCTGTTAATAAATGTCCTACTAATTCAATACTACATTTGTCAAAGTAAAAAAGTGTCTCGAGATAAAAATCAAAATGTTTCAGCTTTTTTCAGCGATAACGTTCCCGCCTACTTTGCCCTACCTGAAATCTGATTGGCTAATGACACGCGGACAGTCATGAATATTTAACACCTCGACCGTAAACATGAATATTTGATCTCCGATCAACCTCAAAACAGTTTATTTTTCTTCCAGTATTGTAATATTGCATATGTTGAGTTTATTAGATGATCTCTCACTCATTTTAAATCCTTCTACAAGATATTTACTACTAAGAATAGCAGCTTAATTCATCGTTAATTTAACGTTACAAAATTAATAAACTGTGATTTATAAATCACTCCGGACATTGAAGTATCTATCAATTTAAAAAGGAGTTCATCAGTGGCATGTAAAGATTTGGCAAGGTTGGAATAAAACGTGTGACATTAGATAGATCTTATACTGTGATATTATAGATATTGTTTCTATTAGAAGACAGTAACACCTGGAAATCAAAAAGGGCGTGTCTTTGGAGCTTTTTACAGGAATGTGAAAGATATTAAACTTTAAAAAATTAAACATTTTCAACATAATCAATTGATATAAAATTATCAGACGGAGATAAATCAAAGATGGAGGGTGTTTATATTACCATGTTTCTTACATCAGTCTTGATTAAAGTGATCAATGCAGAAATTGTAAGTTGTACAAATTTATAATTATATTTGTTAATTAATTGATTACTTTGTAATCATCATTACTTTACTATATAAATATTTCAACAATTGTTTAACACCAATGTCATAAATACTTTACAGGCGGTTATGAAATATAACATAATAAAAGTAGTGGAAAATATACACGTATCAAAAGAAGAAGTGTGAAATTCATGTGATCTTCAATAAAATATGTAATTGCATAATGTTGTATCTGTCACTAATATAGATAGCTAGGTGCAATAGTTATAAATGATTAAGAGTATTCCCGTGAATTATTTATATCTCGTTATCTGATAATTAAAACTAAATATTTGATAGATGTTAATGTCCTTTTAGGCTTAAGAATTAAGGACGTACATCCAAAATGACCCTATCTAACATGCTTTTTTCTGTTATGGCTAGTTTAAAAATAGATCAGATTTACAAGAGTATTCTAGTTCTTATTTGTTTTATACGTAAATAGTCAGATTATATATGATAATGGTTACATATGTCTCTTATAAATCTTAGTTGATTGGTCTTACATGTATTTCTAAATGTACATTGTATATGAATTCCATGTACTATATTTGTAAATGTGAGAAAGAGACTTAAATAAACGAATAAACTAAAGACATTGACCAAACTGACTGTACATTATAATGATTACCAAATTACCAGTGAAAGTTAAAACAGTGTTCTTCTAAGATTTCACCCGGTGAATATTTAGAATAATAAGTTTAAAAAGTAATATTATTCACACAGGCCAAAACTTTGATCATGAACACGATATGGTATGTAAAACCTTAAGAACCCAAGATTCTTATTTCAAGTACAAAGATTTATTTTCATTTGTTTACACGAACACTGAATTCACCTATCTAAATTACAAATAAGCCCTTTAGAGAACATTCTTAACTTTAAGAGATAAAACAATAAACTTATTTTGTTTGGAGTTAAACAGGGTGTCTTTATGTATACCCAGTCATTCACTAGTTTATCTATTTCACTAAACACGAGATTATCTTTTCACTGAAATTATCCACTTCAGTCACTCGAATCATCAGAGGGTTTCGATTTCATACATAAAAAGATCCGAATAATTCATCGGAGTTAGTCAACTGTTAGTCTAACTTTTCGCTTAATATTTACGCATAATTCTGCACCCAGGTGTCCAAATGAAATCATAATATTCTAAAAGGTTTGCAGAAAATGAGTTTTGTGGTGTAAATATTTCAATCAAAGGATTTTCAACTGATAAGTAGATACATGTAAATTCGTATTTCACAGTGTCAATTTAAGTCTGTTTAAACAAGAAGCAGAAATACAGGCGATCTTTCATTTCTACCAGACTGAGTCTTTATATAGGAGAAATCACACAGCGCATGAACCAGCAAAATTGAATTGAATTTAAATATACAGTCTTTAAGACAGACAATTTATTTGTATATCTAAATGAAGCACCGTCGTCAGTACGAACAGCAACAAATAAATAATTATCTTTTTCATTCACCTTTGTTTAACATGTTACCGTGTCTTACAGATAATGTTGTCAAACTTGACATTTTGTTGTTGTCTTCGGTGACAATTTGTTATTGATAATCATATACTTTACTGTATTATTTGCTGTAAAAAAACGAGTACAAGATAGACTCGCCCAGGCATCGCTGCTCATTCATTTATATTCATAGCAGTTTATCGTTCTCTAAATTTTGTGTATATGCCAGTTACCTGTGGTAAGTCTAACATAAGCAGCTTAATGCCTTTAATCATTGTTTGATTGAATATTTGCTGGGGTTTTTTTTGTAACATTTTATTGACCGTGATGCAATCTGCCTTTTATAACTCTTACCACGCTAAATATCTAAAATGGACTTGTCCATCTTTCAATCTGGACAGAACCATTTACCAATTTAGGTACTTCTTTTAAAAAAAAAGAAGAAGAAGAAGAACATGTCGTGACTGAATGGCAAACGGTATCAGACAACATGGATGTATCTCTACACTGGTTGCATAGGTAGAATCAATATACGAAAATCCATCTAAATAGTCATTAAGTAACACTGTAAGAGCATTGGTCGGCGCCTTTAATAGTTACAAAAAGCTTGATATAACTAATTATTTCTGAATATGCGTTTTTTAATTAAGTTCATAATAAACCCCTAAACGTAGCCGTTCATTGTAGTCTCTCTAACCGTTTATGTGAAATATTTTTACAAACTATTAACGTTATATCAGGGCTATAAAAATGTTTATTATCAATTAGTTGAGTTACATTTCATCAGATTATGGTGTTAGTATTCTCTCATGTAAGAATTGCATCGCCATCAAGCATCTGTTTATCTCCATCAATCAAAGCTCAAAGTGGATTATTTACGTACTTTATGGGCTGAGAAGATTCGACTTTGTGTTAAAGGTCTTAATTCTTAACCATTATGAGACAGTACTACAATAGTTTTTTTTCAGTTTAACTTCAAAGACATAATTTCCTAACAAGTGTTCTAACGTGATAATAAAAATATTATTTACAGTATAAAACATTTATTATTCAGTCATTATTTTAAACGGGGTTTTTCCTATCTCATAAAAACGCTCGTGTATCTTAAAACAATTTTAATGGGTTAACAAAGAACGTTATTTCAATGTTTTTCGCGACTACGCCAACTTTAAATTGTTAAATAAAAAAAAAAAGAATTTTAAACACGTGAAGAGGGAGGTCTAAAGTTATAACAGACGTTTAGTAGATGTAACAGAGCAAGAACATGCGGCCGTCTCAGTGACATGTATTTTTCTACTCTCTCATACCCGTCACATCGGATTAGTTCCGGTCCCTGTCAGAACAGAGTTTTATAAAGGCATCAACGTTGATCCCCACCCTATAGAAAAACTATTTTCAATGCACTGAAAAGGAACAACGCGTATCTAATGCCTCAATGAATTTAATAATGTACGTGTTTGCAAATCCAAGGACACAATTTTCAGAGTTTTTACCTCTATTCAATTTCTGTTTAAATATTAATTACGAAAGGATTTGATGGCGAACAGTGCGCGAAGCACGTGCCGTCCCGGATGTTGCGATTTTGACCAGTGGGACGCATCGCTTATGCATTTAATGACACATAATTTACTCTCGCAAGAAAAATGTCTTGTCTCTATCTGTATAAAGCAGAGTTTTATCAAACAAATGCACTGAACAGGTGATTTCTTATCGTGTATAATCAGAAAAGAGATAAATGATTGGAGTGTGCTTTTTTCTAAAGAACTAATTTTTCAGCTGTCCTCGAAAACGTCAGCTATGGCGACACTCGATAACACTTCCTAAAGCAGACGACCCGTTGACATGGATAGGTAATAATTAAAGACGATATCCGTATGATTGCCAATATTAATGTTGACCGTTGTTTGTCATACTTTTGTCAAAAATACCGATAAAAGACAAACTGAACTACGGTTGATCACAGACAGGCATAATTAGTACACTGTTCTATTATATTGCGTGCAATAGAAACGACCCTTCCTTTTCAACATCTGTAAAAAACGAAGAAAGGACTTTAAATTATCTATGTGAAAAATCTTTTTAAAAAATCTGACGAAATTAGAAATGTTGTACTTTTGATCATTTGTTAGCATAAATATAAATGTATCACAAATATTGTAAAATAAAACTACTATTGTGAAAGTATGCACATCAAAGAGGCATGCTTGTTTAATGTTAGATAATAAAAAAAAAATTGATAGACATACTCTCTGATTTAGGCCAGAGATATTTATTTAATTTACGATTTTTACATTCCGATTTGACATGAAACAATCGGAAACATATAGATTAGCCAACGATGTTTACATACAACTGTAGAAGAAATATGTCAATTATTTTATACTAACTTTAATTTCCTCCTGATAGAACGATAACAAAATTGACACGACAATAAAATAAAACTAATGTGACACAAATACCTCCAGGATATATTCTCTTCTTTTATATTCATTTATTTTAGGTTTACTTCGTTGTATTTTGAATTCACTGTTTATATAATTATAATTAATTTAGAAAGGCAAACAAACGACAAAATATCTTGCAATTTAGTCAAAGGAGTTCTAATCTTGCATACTAATTTAATGTTTGTGCAAATAACATGTATATATAATACTACACATGTTGAAGCAGCATATTTAAAATATGAATCATGTTAAAGCATCCACTCTTAAAAACTTTATTTTGTAAGAGCATGTTCTACTTTACGTGACTACTCACAAAAAGACTTTATTACAACAAAGTTAATGTTATACTTAGATTTGCATAGAGACAAGTCAGTTAAATAACAAAAATAAACCTTTGATGTCATAGAGTGAAAAGGTCAATTAACTTTATTAAAGTTTTAGTACAACAGTAACCAGACTCTCGTAGCGAAAACAGAACTCATCTAAGCACAAACATGTCTTTATACGGGAAGAAATTAATACGTGAAACTTTCGTCTTTACGGTCACCTATATCGTGTGAAGTTGAAAGAAAACCCCTCTCCCTTTCTTTTAAAGTGAGAAAATACTATACAGGTTGCATTGTTAAATGTGGGAGTAATTGGTCAGATAGGTTGGATGTTGTTTCAAAGTAAGATAGAATGCTCGGCAGCACGGTTAAATTTCCCCGGTTCCCGTGTCAGGGGATATTTGATGCTACCCGGACCACGATAAGATCTGCACCACATGGGAAAATCAAAATCACATTAACAAGTACATGAACTATAGGTTAAAGGATTAAATCAATACTTAAAAGACAAAACAAAAAACATGAAACAACAGAAACATACAAACAAAACACACCAAAGATAGCAAGAAAAAAGGACACATAACAAAATAAAACGGGGAAAGACCCGGAATGACATGAACACACAATTAAATTAACTGGTGAAAGTGTAAATCATTACTTTTGCTTCCACATTTCTAGATTTAAACTTGATATAAAAAATAGCTTTTAATGTTTCTACTGTAATTCAAACTAATTCAAAGTTCGGACCTGAAACAAGTTCTTGTAAAGTCATAGCAATCACTTAGCCTAAGAATTACTACTTCTTGCTCTAAATGTATAATAGTAAATGGACGATTTCCTTTCTGATCTAAATGTAAATCTATATATAATCCAACGAAATTTACTTGCTGCTCTAATGATAAAGGAAACTCCTACTTTTCATATATTATAATACAAGCAGAATATAACTTCGATAATAATTACGAAGCCAATGTTCATCATGACGTGTATCTGATATTCGATGTTACTATTCGATATGGCTAGCGTCATATATTCTAGTTAAGCAATAGATATTTACATTATGTATTTTCAACTATCAAATTTAAATTTTATTAATCATTATTTCAGATTCAACTACCACCATTTTCTCAGATGAAAAAGTATTATCCTGGATTCTACAACTTTGGAGGATCTTGCAGAAACCATGAAATCATCGCACTTCTTGGAATAGAAGATAGAGAAAGTATGCTTCTCCACGATACCACCGCTCTGCGGCTATCATATACTCTAAACAAGATCGGGAACCAACATTCATTAGGAAATGACGTAATCAGACTTTCTAAAAATGGAACCGATAGTGTTTCCGGTAAAGACGGCCTTCAGTACATATTTCATCCTTTAGCCTTTGGACCATATCTTGCAGACAAATACGGCTATCCTACAGTGACAAAGATGCATTTGTTTGATTCTGTTAAAACAAAAGCAAGTTTTAGTAACAAACAAGGGATAATGCGTATAATAACTTACACTCAACATGACAATAAACCTAAAGGTCACTTAGTACTGTGGGATTGCAATGGCGTCTACCAGTCACGTGATTTCTTCTACGGCCATACACTGTTATCAGTAGAGTTCTGGGAATCACCAGGTAAGGCATTTACAAAAATTAATTTATTTTCATACACAATAGTTTCAGTCAATGTCTAGCTAAAGTTTCTGTAAATATTTTGTTCACATTCTTTAACAACGTTCTGAGCAGTGTTAACCATATTACTATAAGACATATTCATCTGTTTGAGCATCAATCATGAATCAAACGTTATAAAGTAAGACAATTGACCATCGAACTGACATTAAAACAAATTACAAATGATTTTTTATTTTGTTTTGATGAAAATACATTCCTGTTGTTTAAAATAATCTTTTATATGTATCTTTCAGATACAAACTGCAGCGATCGGCAACATGTTGAAACAAACGATAACGACAAAGACGAAGTAGACTCATATATTCTATCAGTGTTAAAAGAATCACGACACGAGTCCAGACGCCGAAGACACTGCTTACAACATGGATGATGTCGCAACACGTGTTCGCCGCCATATTTGGGATTGTGCAATGTGATAAAACATAAATAAAATGTGCCCCATGTAACATATGCAGGTTCCATGTGTGTAATATGTATGTTTCAAGTGAAAACAGTTAAGACATATAAGGAACTAGTGGGTATCAACCGGTGTTTGCGCTTGATAAGACGTAGCAATCTGTGAAAGAACTTACCGCAACATTGACGTACCTTGGTAATTGTCTCTTTAAGACATTTACTGGTTCGTATGAAAAGAGCAGGAAGACACAGCATGTTTATTTTGTGTACAAAATTAAAGCGATGTTAAAGCAAATGATGATAAACAATGGTTAGAGTAAGAATGAAAGTATGCCACGGTCATTAGTAACAGAATTTGATGTGAATGCACATCATGTTGAGAGAGTCTGTTTCGTTGAGGAAAATACAGGTTAAGAGATGTGTTTGACGGTTCAGACTGCGAGATAGAAAGACATTTTGTATCATATCTGTGACATAGCAAGGTACCTTGTGGATATTAATATATTTATATCATTACCAAAGGTAGTTTGTAAATGAATATTTTGAGAAGAGATCTATTAACGAAGTTCTGAATGCAATTTAATCTGAGTTCCCAGATAAATTCTAAAAACAGTTATGTATGTCTTGATAATGTTGTAATTCCTTTCTGTTTGTAAAACCCTTTATATACATCGAATTTATTTGAATATGAAAATAAAAGAAAGTTTGGCAGTTTGGTACATGTTACAAGCTAGAGTTAAGGATTGTCCCAATATTTATCAAGAAGAGTGGAATCAAATTAAAGTAGTAGTAACTGTTACATTTCAAGTACCAATCTGGTAAATAATTAAGTTAATTCAAGGGCCAAACCTTATAACTTGTCATTTAAAATAGATTTAATTTCGCATGAGTATTTCAAATTACTTCTGTATAGAATTGAAAAACTCAATTGTAAAATTGAACGTTATTTATTTCATGACTTTCACCAGTGCTTGAAATCATAGTATAACATTACACAATTGATACAGTCTAATTTTGGAATATGAAATAGGGTCTCTCTTCCTCTATTCAACCCACACCCTTAGCATGATTAGCGTCATTAAGGTATACAATAAGCTGTCTACTTCGGGCACTTCTACGTGAATTGCCCGTGAAGAAAGTGCCCTAGAGTGCCTAAATATTCAATGACAGCAGGACTTTCAATTAGCAATCTGACATTTCACAGCATTGGCTTTTAGCGTTCGTTAATCACATGGTAATAATTGGCCAATATCCATGCGCCGTATTCATGCGCAGTTTCATTATGCAACACACACAAGGGGAATGCAGTGTGCATTAATAATTGTCATTATGAATCCTGTCGTTGTGTAAATTTCGTCTTTCATTCTCTTGTTCAAAAAGAATAGAAATTGGCGCAGACATCAAGCCTAACTAGAAAGTGAACAATTAAAACGGGGCGGTCAAATTAGGGGTTGGACGCTGAAGATGCTGGCGAGACTGAACGTTTATTGTCTAAGATCCAATGTCCCGTCTCTAACGACTCAGTTAACAATACATCTTACGCAAGCATTGTGCAGTAATCTCATGCCCATTGCTCGATCATTGGTTCACCCGCTACTGAAATGCCTAACCGGCGGACCCTACCTTGTCTAGGAGTCCAAATATGTTCAAATTTTACTGCGTATAGAATTATAGATATAATTTGCGATGTATAAAATGTTATTATTGCAATATAAATAATGGGGGAAGTCAGGCAATATATGCAGTCCTAAACTGCCAGATATTCGATAGTTGAATTCGTGGATAAATTTATCCCTTCTTCGTTGCCATTAATGGTTATATTCACATTTTATAACTACATATATATTGCAGTATTACTCATCTTTTTATATGATTGTAAGGTAATACTTTTTATATCACAGCAATAGTGCCAAAGAACATTCAATAATACGAGTATTTACTTGAGATAATATTGGTTATTTGAGAGACCAAGAACTTTGAAAACTCGACAAACAACATGCAAAACAATGTTAGAAACGTTTAAGTTTTGATTAACGACAATCTGATTCTGTCAAACTATAATCTCTTTTTTTCTCAAGAGCAGCATTGATTGAAAGGCATGCTATCTCAGAACCCGCATATTGAATTAAAAGTTATCACAATGTCCACTTTAACTGCCCAACAAGCGGATTTTAGCCACTGTTGAAAGATATTTAAAATTAAATCGCATTAAAATGCTCTAATGCAAATTAATGAAAGATGATACGTTGATTTCTATCAATGATTTTCCTTCTCATTTATGTAAATCCGGGTAAATCAGTGACAAGCGTTTTATAGAACTGGTGTAACCATCCGCCATGTTGTTTTGAAAAGATGGCGGTAAGTGTTATTGATGAGGGTCATCAAATACTGTCCATGGAATGATCTTATCTAGATAATTACAACACTATTAAATTAAAATAAGTAAGTCCGTGTCACACGGTGAAATGCACAAACATACTTTTTGTATGAAATATAAAACGGTACTGACACATAGTTCAATATGGTATTTTACTCCTATTTTACTATGAAATGACCGTTGGAAGCGGTTTTCTTCAACCTGATTTGAACAATATCATGTATTTGTAACAACAACAACAACAACAACAAAACATTGCATTAATATTTAAGATATTTAATGGTTTTCTTCAAATATCTTTTCATTAAGTTTAATTAACATAAATAATAAACATCATCTATCAGCCTACATGTCAGGTGTGGTACTGTAAAGAAATGTTGCAAACATGGATAAATTCACATTTACTGAAAACTTTTAACATTAATATTTTAGCATTCACGCTGTTACTTGCAAAAGTAATGAAGATTGAGGATTTTAGCACTATGAAACTTTTTTCTCAGCGCTCGTGAATTTGAGACCAGGTGATGTCAGATTTTGGTATTCATGAATGAGTCGTCTGCTGGTATTATCATAAGGGTTAACCTGTAATCTAGAGCACTACACGACCATTCCTTTTCTGAGGCACATATCATTAAATTTTCATCATCAATTACATAACCACACCCACAAGATTTGGTTCTTTAACTAACTAAAATTGCGTCGTGGGGGTCACGTAATTGCGTGACACGGTTCCGTGCAAACATCATTTACGTGAAATTCGATCGACGCATGCGCTACTCCTAGTTAATTACATAACAATGGAGACGCCCCTGTTTAACATAATTTTTTGTAACAAAATATGCTGCAAATTGATTCATGTTTCTAAGTAATTATATAGCAATATGTATGCTAATTCTAACATTCAACTGCCGATGGTATATTTAAGTAAAAGCAATCTTAATGTAATTGAAGATATAACACGAGAACAATAGCCGCAAAACAGGGGTTTCAAGCTAAAGTAGAAATATTTAGACATTGTCGAATGTATTTTCTCGACAGGTGTTAATTTTACCACGTTTGTATATTTTATGAGTTCTTCTCTTTCCTTTTGTTCGATCAAATATTTTATTTGAATTTGGGATCTCTCCTTTCCCAAGGGGCGGAGTGTTGCCCTTACAAAATACAGGAAAGACGGTGAGCGTAATTACTGTACCCGCTGTGATAATCGCTAACCTAGTCTGAAGTATTCATTGATATCACTTACAAAATCTATTTACTTTAAGTTTATTAAAACACTGGTCTAGAGAAAGGCTTAAAAATTCACAAGTTCATCGTATCGCATTTCCGCCCTTATTCTACCTTGAGAAGGTAATAAAGCAAGTAACTTAATAAAATAACGTGTGGTACCTGTTGCTTAAAGAATTTAGAAACTAAAAATAAAGTAATTTGTCTGAACATGTGAAAGGGACATGTGATTTGTCAGAGGTAACAGGTCACCTCAATAGAGCTGATGGAAAATGTCAGAATCCAAATGTTCCTTTAACGGAACGCCGAAATGAAAAATAGTCACGAAGGCCCTAAAATGGTCTAGTGAGAATTCAACATGGATTAGCGGACGTATATACATATGCTCATTCCGTCATTGTTACATAGTAAATTTTATTATATTATTTTAGCAACAACGAGGTACTCTATATGTACAAGTTGGGAATGAACTTTTTTCCTTCCTCTGTAAAGTCAACGAAATGACACATGCAGGCATGGGACAAGTCTGCTTACATCATTTTTTGCAATTGGTTATAGTGCACACCACGTATCTTGTTTCAGGATGTGTTGGATCAGAATGAATATAAACTGATAACTTATCATAAAATTGTCTTTTATCCTATTTAGAAGTTATTAATCAGCCAAAAGAAGTTCAAACACAAATAATTATAGATACAGGTGCACGGAAATTCCTGCTCTACTTTAATTATGGGTTAGTTGGTTTTAAAATCACAGTGAACTTTTTTTATATCATTTAAGGATAAATGATATCGTGTGTTCAATGCTAATAAACATTGTTCTACAACTTCGGAGAAGACACATGCTCAATTTTATTCAATGTGCCGTAAACGCAACATTACACATTAAAGACCACTGCGCATGCTCGTCCGTCATGGCACGAGATTCACAATTGCAACTGGTGTCCATAAATAAATTGATCATAGTTCAAAATAGCACTTTAATGTCCGAGATTTACAGTCAATGATAATCGGTAAAAGCAAATTTGTTCACCGCATAAAACGTTCTAACAATACATGCAATAAATCGGGTCATTTTAATTTTCATCAAAACGAAGCTCGCTCCGTAATTTTTCATCAAATCCCAATACCGAAGAAATTTAATTAATGTTTATAGCACACGATTCATTCAAGTGACTCTGACTTTTTGATTTGTGGTCTTTGGATGCGCTTATTTTGATACAGCGTCTTCAAAATTACATGAAGCGGAAACATGGACTGTCATCGTTTAACAGTGGGCATGGCACAATTAGCAAACTTCACACAAAAATGGGGCTCGTAAATTAAATTTTGGGAATTAGAGTGATAGGCAATAGGTGCAATATCATTTGGCGCACACTCTAAAACTAATAATATATTCAATTACAAAATAAAATTTCAACAGTCTGAACTTTCTTGATATACGCGATTAAATTTTCAAGATTTATTTTTTAATAATTTGTCAATTTTCATATTATAAAAATATTAAATGTGATAAGCACGTGTTTCAAAAATGCCGGATATACATTAAACATTTCGACTAGCGGCCTTTCAACTCAATATATTTCAATCTTGATGAAAATTAAAGACCTACATCTAAGCTTTCAATAACATGCATTTAAATCGTACATCAGTATTGTTTTTGAAACCACGTTGAGAGCCCGTTTGTTTTCAAGGAAAGAAACCAACACAATTTTCACTATATTAACATGTTTGTAGACAAAAGGTAACCTATCATTGTAGATAAACCGTATTGTAAAAACGACGACCAGTATTTCAATGGTCTAGATTAGTCAGCTTAAGTCTACGTGGGCAACTTTATTTCAAACTTTCAGGTACATAGCACATACGTGAAAGTACACTTATCATAATAATGATAATTTATGAACTTCAATGTTTTATGAATACGTGATAGCCTGAAGATGACAAAGCATCAAAGAATTAATTAAAAATGGGTTTACATGAACTTCAATGAAAATTTAAGGGCGAAAATACACTGCCTCCTGCCAAGTTTGTTCATAACATAAAATTGTAAATCCTAAATTTAATGTTTTAGAGATGCCAAGTCTAGTTACGTATCCATCATATAGTGGAAGAAATAAAAGCGAGTAATGCATAAGTTTATTTACTTTTGTGCATAGTTTTAACAAGTTTATGATGTTAACATCACTTAATTTAAATCTTCAAAGATTCTAAAACTAAACCAAGGCATTTAACATAAAGGCAAATACAGAGTTTAACGAATGAAACAATATTTTGAGCTCGATATTTTCCAGGTATCTGTTACCTAAAGAAAAAAGAAAGCTAATGGCCCCGAATGGGTTATTTATGAATGTCTCATATCTTGTAAGCAGTCACCCGAAATGAGGAAATTAAACGGACGAGTAATGTGAACACAAATCGATTCTGGCCACTTGTTTTCTTCTCAGGTTTAAACAATCTCTTGTTGTACCTTACGCAAATAATTCATGAATTTTCTTCGTTGAGGGTCCTCCAAAGTTCTGTCAAGTAGTTCCGAATTCATAAATGCTACTTTTATCAAACTTGTTCGTATTGCAAACTATCCAAGGTTTCGCAATTTTGTAAACTGTTCATCAAATCGTTAAAAAAAACCCAGAAAGAACGGGTGTTCTGTTATTAACTGCGGGAAGCACTGTTAAATGGTACTGCCAAGTCTTATTTTATTATCGAAAGTATTTTCTTGAGCTATGGGAAACCAGGTCACTAGGATCCGGGTAAAGTGAATAATGTCCAAGGCTTTCTCAGGGCATATCACCTATTCAGTCCGATTACAATTACTTTTCCAAAATCTAGGGACATCGGAACGTTACACTAAGACATATGAGAGGAAGCTTTGCTGTCAATGGTTTAGTAGAATCGCTAAGTGACAATATGTCAAGATAAATCAGTCGCATGCACAACTAGTTAAAAGATAAATGTATACATTTTTTCGAACTGAAAGCAGGCATTTCTCACCCTTTCAACTACTCTGTGACCTAATCATGAACCTTTGGGTTTCTGCAATGACTAAGGAAATGCCAGATTATCGCAGCCTTAGTATTTTTTCAAGAACTCACGTGCACATTTTATCTATCCTCTAAAATAAGCCAATGTGGGGACATACCTTTACGTATTTTTCATGACTGTTTCCTGTTTTTTTGTGTTTTTTTTTTTTCTCTCTCTCTGATATACCAGTACAATTGGCTATTTCGTTAACCTTATTCAATCAAGACCTAACAGAACTATACCATACAATTAAATATCTTTATAAAACAAAGTGCTAGTACCCCCAGTTTAAAATAACTATTATTTGAAAAATAATTAGCATAATATACAGATATCGTTACCTATTGGACACACTATTCAAATTCAATAAAATGTTAAAATACTTGGAAGTAAATACATGTGACAAGCAGCAGAACTCTTTAGCAGGACACTGGCAGTACTGGTTTCATACCTTGGGTCACATTAAAGGAACTCCACCGAGGCCCCAAAACATTACGTTTGAAATTCTGACAAAGATCAACTGGAACACTAAACGGAAAAATGCAACAAATATATACAAGAGGGTCATGATGGCCCTGAAATCGCTCACCTGTACATAGGCCACTGGGACAAGGCCATTTTTAAACCAGGGCCTTTTATTTGAACAAACTTGGTAGACACCCATTAGAAGATGTTTAATGAAAAATATCTAAGCTCTCGCTCTTTGGGTTTTTTTATAAGATTTTTTAAGTTTTTACTATATACATATAGGGAAAAACAATGACCTCCCTCCCCCCCCCCCTGGGAGGGGCCACTTTTGACCCCAGGGCTTTTATTTGAACGAACTTGGTAGACTTTCACTAGAAGATATTTCATGCTAAATATTTTAGCACTAGCTCTTTGGGGTGTTTAAAAGAAGATTTTTTAAAGTTTTTTACTATGTACATAAAGGGGAAAAAAATGACCTCCTGGGGCGAGGCAAATTTTTACCCCAGGTTTTTTATTTGAACAAACTTGGGAGACACCCTCTGTAAGATGTTTCGGGCTTAATATCTAAGCTCTAGCTATTTTGGTATTTTAAAAGAAGATTTTTTTAAAGTTTTTACTATATACAAATAAGGAAAATCACTGACCCCTCTGGAGAGGCCAATTTTTACCCCAGGGCTTTTATTTGAACAAACTTGGTAGACACCTAATAGATGTTTCATGCTTAATATCCAAGCTCTAGCTATTTGGGTTTTTTAAAAGATTTTTCTAAGTTTTTACTATAAACAAATAAGGAAAATCAATTACCCCCCCCCCCCCGGCGGGGCCAATTTCGACCCCAGGGCATTTTTTTAAACAAACTTGGTAGACACTGACTAGATGATGTTTCATGCCAAATATTTAAGCTCTAGCTCTTTCGATTTTCTAAAAGAAGATATTTTTAAAATTTTCTTTCGGTTGCCATGGCAACCAGAGTTCTGCTTGGCTTTACATTCTTTGAACAATTTTTAAAGGTGACCAAGCAAAGGAACATTCTTGTGAAGTTTGGATAAAATTGGCTTTGAGGGTTATGAGGAGATATTGTGATCACAAAAGCTCACCTTGTCACTGTGTCAGTCCCATCTACCTCAGTGGGGTCTCTTTGAACCGGGGTTATTTTTGGCAAATGGCTCATGTTTTATACTGGTAGCTGTGAACCACGGGGGAGGAAGTGTTACACGAAGGATGGAGTTCTTATGATAACTTGTTCAAGAGTTCTTGTGATAACTGTCACGGAGTTCGTCGGAAAACATCTGTATATACTACAAAAACACTCGTTAAAAATGGTTATTTACATCGTTCAAAAATAAGTTTAGGTGCTAAATTAAACTTTAATGATTAAGCTTGTCTAACATCTTGCATTATGTGTCAAAAACTAATTCACAGGCCATTTTTAATCGACTCTTGCTTCAAATCTGGTAGTTTTGAGTAAAATTTCCAAATTACTTGCCAATTCACAAGTATTGACCGGTTTATTTCTGGTCTTCATCCTTGCCATACATAATTACCTAATTATAATGCAAAATTGCAAACATAAAGCACCGGCTAACAGATTTATACCCGGTTTTTCAAATGTCACGGAGTTCTTGTGATAACTCTAAAGATGTCACAGAGTTCTTATGATAACTTTTGTTATTGCCAGTGTGTTTCTTGCGCTAAATCACGGCACGTTTTGACGTTTATTATCATTCAATAAGATTGTAAATCATTATGAAATGCAGTACGCTCATCCTTTGCACAAAAATGCGGACAAAACGTTGGTTTTAAGTGTCTGCAAAGGATAAATAGGTGATAGGATATCATCTACAGTAAAGATTGAACCAGCAGCCACTGATATTCAGCAGTATAATGGCTTACACCACAAAACAAAAATGTCTCAAAACGTACACGTTGTTCTCAGTTCCACATGTTTTAAGCAACCACCTTTCTTCAGCAGACAATATATAGGCATGCTTCCCTTACCTAATGGCTAAGTAATTTGTATCATTTTATACCATAATAAATAAGTATATAACCAGGATAATTTCCACACCTATGTCTTAAAAAAGTACGATACATGATAAAAACTCAACTGCGGCGAACTCTAACTACCGATCTCTCGAAAAAATTTGAACTGTCCCTCCAGGTTCCAGATTTACCTAGAATGGGATTTCAGTTATTGTGCATGGGCATTCAAACAAGAATTCTCCAGGTGTTGCTTGTAAGTGTCGCAAATTCTCTAATGTAACTTAAAACAACAGACAAAACTTTGAAACATATTAATCGCTGTACTTAGTACTATTATAACTGCTGTTTTACATAGAAAACAAATGTTTCTCTGATTGATGCCGTAATATAGATGCTTAACTGAGAAAAATAGATTGTAAGTCTGGATGAAAATGATAAAGGGCCAGAAAACTGCTAGGGGCCGGAAACTGCTAGGAAACCAGTACATAAATCCTTTTTCCAGTCTACGAAATATGCGTCAAACAAAAAAATACCATGAAAAAGATACAAGGGTAAGAAATGATATCTCTTGAACTAAAATTCACTCAAAACCAACATTATATATCCTATTTTTTGCGCAAAGGATAAGCGTACTACATTTCATAATGATTTACAATCTCATTGAATAACAAAAAACGCTAAAACGTGCCGTGATTTAGCGCAAGAAACACACTGGCAATAACAAAAGTTATCATAAGAACTCTGTGACATCTTAAGAGTTATCACAAGAACTCCGGGACATTTGAAAAATCGGGTATAAATCTGTTAGCCGGTGCTTTATGTTTGCAATTTTGCATTACAATTAGGTAATTATGTATAGCAAGGATGAAGACCAGAAATAAACAGGTCAATACGTGTGAAATGGCAAGTAATTTGGAAATTTTACTGAAAACTACCAGATTTATAGCAAGATGCGATTAAAAATGGCATGTGAATTAGTTTTTGACACATAATACAAGATGTAAGACAAGCTTAATTATTTAAGTTTAATTTAGCACCTAAAACTCCTTTTGGAAAGATGAAAATAACCATTTTTAACGAGTGTTTTTGTAGTATATACAGATGTTTTCCGACGAACTCCGTGACAGTTATCACAAGAACTCCTGAACAAGTTATCATAAGAACTCCATCCTTCGTGTAACACTTCCTCCCCCGTGGTGAACTTCCATTCAAGAAAATTGAAAAGTATTTTCCTAAACAAGTCTACGTAAATTAAGTGACCACAGGGCTAGGGCAATATTAACCCTAATGAATAAATTTTGTTCTAATATTAACAAGTAGGGGACAAACAAAACTTAACATGGCAAACTTTCAGATAAAGGTATGAACCCTCCAGATATCGAGATGAACATTAACAAACAGTCAAGTGATACCTTTTATTTCATCAAATCTTAACAATTTTCAAAAATTAACAAATATTAAACAATTTCATTTTAGTCCTTACAACTCCCTGCAAATTATACTTTACAAGTACAAATGTAATGATTTGTAATGAAGACTATTTTGTTAGGTACATGTTGATATATCTTCTCATAAAATTTCTTGAAATGCAATACCATATGTAGAATTACTAAATACATGTACATGTATATCATGCATTTAATCAGTATTGCTTTACTTATGTCAAATACTTAGATGATCGTAAATTCATGAAAGATAAATACTCATTTATTAAAAAGAAAACAGTTAACAATACAAAACATATTCTCATTGAAGGCAAATGTACTTTCACTAATAACACAGCCATTCATCTATTATTTTGTCAACATGATTTGATAACAACTTGAGAACAAGAGGGCCATGATGGCCCTGAGGTCGCTCACCTGTATATAGCCCACCCCCCGGGCCAATTTTTACCCAAGGGCTTTTATTTGTTTATTTGAACAGACTTGGTAGACACCCATAAGAAGATGTTTCATGCTAAACATCTAAGTTCTAGCTCATTGAGTTTTTTAAAAGAAGATTTTTTAAGTTTTTACTATACACATATAGTTAAAAACAATGACACCCCTGGGGCAGGGCCAGTTTTCACCCCCGGACTTTTATTTGAACAAACTTTGTAGATATTTACTTAAAGATGTTTCATGCTTAATATCTAAACTCTAGCTATTTGGGTTTTTTCAAAGAAGATTTTTAAGTTTTTGCTATACATATATAAGGAAAATCAATGACCCCCGGGGCGGGCCAGTTTTGACCCCAGGGCTTTTATTTGAACATACTTGGTAGACACCCATTAGAACATGTTTCATGCTAAATATCTTAGCTCTAGCTCTTTGGGTTCTTTAAAAGTAGATTTTTTAAGTTTTTACTATATGCATATAGGGAAAATCAATGACCCCCTGGGGCGGGGCCAATTTTGACCCCAGGGCTTTTATTTGAACAAACTTGGTAGACATTCATTAGAAGATGTTTCATGCTTAATATCTAAGCTCTAGCTCTTACGGTTCTTTAAAAGAAGATTTTTTAAGTTTTTACTATATGCATATAGGGAAAATCAATGACCCCCCGGGGCGGGGCCAATTTTGACCCCAGGGCTTTTATTTGAACAAACTTGGTAGACATTCACTAGAAGATGTTTCATGCTAAATATCTTAGCTCTAGCTCATTGGGTTCTTTAAAAGAAGATTTTTTAAGTTTTTACTATATGCATATAGGGAAAATCTATGACCCCCTGGGGCGGGGCCAATTTTGACCCCAGGGCTTTTATTTGAACAAACTTGGTAGACACTCATCAGATGATGTTTCATGCCAAATTTCTAAGCTCTAGCTCTTAGGGTTGTTTAAAAGAAGATATTTAAAGATTTTTCTTTCGGTTGCCATGGCAACCAGAGTTCTGCATGGAATTAAATTCTTTGAACAATTTTTAAAGGTGACCACCAAAGGAACATTCCTGTGAAGTTTGGATGAAATTGGCTCAGCGGTTTATGAGGAGATGTCATTTAAAGCAAAAGTTCACGGACGGACGCCGGACGGACGCCGGACGAAAAGCGATCACAAAAGCTCACCCTGTCACAAAGTGACAGGTGAGCTAAAAAGACAAGCATAAACGCTTTCTAGCTGTTAATTTAATATAATAATAGTATCCTAGCTTTTATTTCAAATGAAAACCAAGAATATTCAACATTTACACCATACACAGATGGTATGCTACAATAGGTGACTGACATAAGTGCCAGTAAACTACTCTCTGGTGTTACTTTGAAGTCTTCTTTTTAATGTCCATGAGATAGATACTGCACTGCAGCTGTAGATAAACTTCTTCACATTTTATTCTCACTTGTGTGTCAAGCCTCTTTATATAAACCAATCTCCTCTTAAATAAACCTATTTCCCTTGTATTTAGAACCCAATAAAGCAATCTTAGGTTCACTCTGGTTTAACTCCTCTTTTCATTTTCTTATAGTCACCTTCCTGGTGAGCAAGTCCGCCCATTATCTCCTTCACTTTACGTTTCCTCTCCGCGTCCTTCTCCATTACCTCCCCTAGTTTCTGTCTCGCCAGGAATCTTGTATCTTTCTTCAGTTCTCTTACAGCACCTTTCATTTCTTTCTTATATTTGTGAATCATTTTTTGTTTCTCATTAAAGTCTTTAGTTCCACGCTTACCTTTCTTTCTTCCATCAAATCTGTAAAGTAAAATAAAAAAATTCTTCAGAGTAACATAACAAGCAAATAAACTTCCACAAGCTTCATCTGTATTAAATTTTAGAGACCACTCATGATGGTGCATGTATGACATTTACAAAATAATAATTTGATTCTGTTAACATTAATTGCTTAAATGGTAAAAAGCTTAATATTTATGGAATATTTTTACAAAATTAAATAATGGTAAAATTATGTTGTTCCAATAATTTTCTGGTCGATTTTTGTCAGAGTTGTAAAATATAATGTCCATGTTATTTGACACATTATGTCTATTGTACATTAGATGAATTAAGTGTCTCAGAACAAAATACTATACAGCAAATTTAAGTAAATTTTAATCTTTTAGCAAATATTTTGTGAATTGCCATTGGCTTTAAAAGAAATTAACAAACATTTCTGTCATACAGATATTCAGGAATGATTCTTTTTCAAAATTCAAACAAAGATTTTGTTAACTACAGCCAGCAGATTTACACATTTTATTACTTTTAGCATATTAAAGGCACATTGTGCTCCACAAACTCATTTATTTTCATTTCTCCAAAGCTTTTTATTTGTTGATGTACGTTTTTAGTTCCTGAAGTTTTATTCATTGGCCAATTACCTAAATCATCTTTTTCTTCTGTTGTTATTTGGCAATTAATACAGTTAAAGTGACTTAGTATTTTGTATGGAAGTTAAAATACTACTTTGTTTACATTTTACTACTTTTATGACAAATTATTTCACATTCAACGCTACTTTCCCCAGGCAACAACAATCTTACATGCCCTAAAACCATTATTTATAGGTTATTCAATTCATGTTTGCCCTTTCCAAAGAAGTCAAATTTTATTCATTTCTAAGACATAATGTGCCTTTAATTCATATTATAAACACATTAAAGACAGTGTATGATAAAATACATTCCCAAACCTTCTCACAAATATTTAAATGTACACTAACAAACTTCTAATTTCAAGTACAAACAAAAGAACTTCAACTACTTATAACTTACTTTTCTTCAACTTTAGGTTCAAACATTTTAAGAGGTTTTGGTTTCTTTTTCTGCATGACTAGTGGAGCCCTCATTCTACAGCATAAGTCTTCACATCTTGTTGTTAACTCATTTATTCTGATCTGTAATTTATGACAATATCATTCCAGTTAAATAACATGTGGAACTGGAGGTATAAGAAACATGTATAAACAATGTTTAGTGTTACATCTTCATACTCAATCATTATCTATAATCATTCTGTTACTTTACAGAAAGTATATACACTAAAACATATATTTCATGAAAAAAAAGAAGATTCAAATCAGATAGCCCATTTCAGATTATTTATGACTACTGCCAAAATAGTAGCAAATAAACTTAACTTTATGAGTAAATGTAAACAGATTTGAGGTACAATATCAAGTCATGCTTACCACAAAATAACAGTATATTAAATGACTAAACTTTTTATTTTAGTTAAGTTTGATTTATTCTTATTAAGTTTAACTAGATATCAATGAAGTTTGTTATTACTACAACAAAAAGCTACTTGATAAAAACTTGCATGTATAGGTATAAAAACACATACAACTCTGCTACAATTATCATTTTTGATTATTTTGTCTAAATCCCAGTCACTAAATTGTATTACAAAAAAATTTATTAAATTGGTGCACCTATATCCCTAGATATCGCTGTGTATTAGATTGGGCAAAAGTTTTTACACACACCGAGGTAAAAAAATCAAAGACAAATTATTTAAAACCTGCAATAAGCACTACAAAAACAGTATAATCTTGTATAAAACACAAACAATGTGTGTGCTTGTTTATTAAACATTAAAAAATATACAATATTCTTCTAATAAATTCTTACCTGTAATTTAGATGGATAATTGTGTTTTGGTAGTTTATTACACATATATAATACAGGGGAGAATATTTCCTTGAATGAAGATAAACCACAGTAGATCTTTATATATTCTGATAACAGCTGTATACACTGATATATTGAAGTGATCCTAGAAAAAAAGCACAACTTTATAATATAAAATATATAATAATGTTCATAATTATATTCAACAACATGTTGATGAAATTACTTTATTTCATGTAAGTTGAAAGGAGTTAGCACTTAAGGTACTATATCCTAAACTGTAAAGAAAACTAGAAAAGAGTTCCGCAGGAAACAAATGGCTCTACATTCCATCATGTTGCCAGTCTAAGGTCCGAAAATGTGACAGACAAGGGCAAATCTATATGCCTTCCCCTCCAAGCAGTAGGGGCATAAAGATCAAACTCCAAGGTATTATAATTTTATATCATCTTGTACATGTATTATGTGTAGTTCACCAATCAAACTGTATCATAGTGTTTGTCCGACACAGTAGAGGTCATATGGTGACATTCTAGCTTTACTGGTGGGGGAAGATCTCGGGGGCTCTTCTGTGCATTATTTCAGGCACAAACAGACACCTGAGTAAAACCACCAATCCATAAGCTAGCTGGATAGCTTCCTCTGTATCATAGTAAACAAATACATGTAAGTCTCAATACATACAGGCACATCAATAATTGTTATCAACTCACTAGTTTCAAACAGATATATATAAGATATAAAAAGTGCAGGAATGAGAGAAATTTACACAAGCTGTTGTCCTTTCATAGGCTGAATTAATTTCTATTACAAATATACATAAAACAATATTACACTACATCAAAGCAGTTTTAATATTTACATTTACAAGATGAGTGTGTCAAGTACATTTCTGGAACAAAATTATTCTGATTTTCTGCATCACACACAAATATACAACCACATTATTTTGTATAACTTAAATAATTAAACAAACATGTTGTAATTTTGCAATCAATATAAGAATTTACCTAAATTCATCAGTTCCATACAGATTTTCTTCAACAATTGGTGCTAACATCTCAGATAATGACCATTTCTCTTGTTTTATGCTACAAGAAAATATGTAAATTTTATTAGAAGGTTTTTAAACAAATAATTTAAAGCGTAATGCAGGACAGGCCTGGTATGCTGACCATATCATGATCAATTTCAAACTCAAGTACACTTTGTACAATACATTAAAACACTATCACAATCAATGTGTTGTAACATTTTTCTTGAGAATAAACATACTGGTTTTATTTTTACAAACATATACAGTAAACTCCGCTTATAACAAAACTCATCGGGACATTCAAAATCTGTTCCTTATATTCAGAGTTCCTTGTAAGCATATAGCGAATTAGTTTCTTTCATCTATTAAAATGAATTTGTATAGCGGTACCTAATAGCTATTAGGTACCGCTATACAAATTCATTTTAATAGATGTCTTGAAGTATATACAACAATAAACGGTACATTCAGCCAAGTGCCAATAAAAAACGAAAGTTGAAAATGCGGGATCTATTTACGGATAGCCGATATTTTGCAGTTTGTTATAAAAGTGTAATATTCTGTACTTTTAACTAAATTGGGACTAAGAAATGAGTTCCTTATCAGCAATAATTCCTTGTAACCGTGTTCGCTATAACCGTATATTATTATATTAAATAAAGAAGGGCAAAATTCGGGCCAAAATAAATTGTTCCTTATAACCGGAAGTTCGCTATAACCGTGTTCGCTATAAGTGAAGTTTACTGTAAACTAGAAATAGATGCCCCCATGGTTCCTTCACTATACAGACGGACAGCATAACAGCCTGACAGATGGACAAGGGCTATTCTATATGCCCCATCTTAGTGGGGGCATAATCATTGTCTCAGTACCAAACAAAACTGGAAATGCAAAATCACTAACCCGTGTTTTTTATAATAAAATCCAGACCATCACAAATAGACAAAGAAATAGTTTTAGTGTATTGAAGTAAAGTTAATCTAGAAATCAAATTCTATTCAAATATGAAATTTTAAAAAGCACAACTATTTTTTAAAAATAACATTAGAATATTCTGATCAAATGCCCAGTATTAAAATCATAAGAGCCATCATATGTATTTTGAATACTCTCCAGAGAACATAAATAAATCTCAAGATTAAATAAAATATCATGAAATTTGTAGTAATCATATTACGATTCAATCAAATGTGGTATTATCAAATCTGAGCTTGTCCTTTGAATTTAAATTTCTTTCATTGTTATTTATAGAAATTAAATGAGAAGAAAACATTACAGTTTGGTCAGACATCATAGATATGTGAGATGATCTGGCTCTATAATGGTGAAAAATCTATTTATACCAGCTTATAAATAATTTATTTACCTTTTAACTGTGTGTGATATATGTAACAAATTGATGCATTTTCCGACTGGTTTAAATGGAGGTATCACAGATTCAACTATATGAGAAAAAGAAAACAAAGGAATAGAAACTAATAAAAACATAAATAGTATAAATATGAATGTCGATCTTGATATAAAAATATGTTTTGTTGTTCCATATTACTAGCTGCTAACTGTATGCCAGATTAACCATATCACTGATGCTACATCTATTTACTTTTTGTTTTTACCTTCATATGAGAACTTTTCAGCTTTTCTAATGGAGAAAGACCCTAAAGTTTATTCAAGACATAGAAGTGTACCTGAAAAGTGCATAATAAATTCCCATATGTCAGCTGGATAGTTAGTTGGTAACATGGAATAAATAAGCATCTGTGTAGAAAATGAGAACTAACAAATATCAGGCACACAATCTATATTTCACATGACATAATAACAACTATGTCTAAGTTTATTTAATGTCTTAGATTTGTATAACCTTGTTTCTTTTTTTGAAATACATCATAACATGTATTTCAAATCTTTCCGAATGTCTTTTGGAATAACTATGCCATATACGAGACAAATGTTTTCTAAAATATAACTCGACACAAATAAAACTAAACACATGAATAACATGAAATGATTCCTGACCTTTTTTACTATCTTTATCAGCAGCATAAAACAGCAGCCCATGTAGGAAAGATATAACTTCAGGAATATATCTTTTTGACATTGATACATACTGAAATACATATGAATTATACAGTGTATATCATACACAAGACAATTACATTGTTTATGCTTCATATTAACTTTACTTTAATCACACATGACGAGAACTTCTCATCTCATGCAATAAAACATATAACATTCAAGACAATTTAAAGTTATCAGTATTCATTACAGATTTAATGCCTTAACTTTCATCACTAAACAAAAAGCAAATTTTGTATAATTGTCACATGTTTTATGTAAGTTAATACATTTTATCATCTTTGTTATTGTCAGTATATAGCTGTTAGCTACTGTTTCATAATTGTAAGAACTGTTTTAAAATAAAGCTTCTTGTCATATTTTCACTATCAGTTTACATATAAAATGAAATGACAAGGATCATATATTTAGTTTTAAGATCAAATGTTTATACCTCTAGACAAAGATTGCACAAGAATAGTCCAGCGACCACATCTCTACCAGAGACCACTGGTGACTGTCCTAGTATCTGACACATAAACAACAATGATGGCGTTGTCACAGGGTGCCGGAAATCTGATGTCGGAAACAGTATAGACACCAGCTTGAACAGTAACAACTGAAAATTGAATGATCTCAATTAATTGTTATATCAATATTTATCACACACCCTTGCCAATTTTGCGACTCCGTAAATATGGTATTGCACGGCTGTGCATATATTTTGATGTGACGTCATTAGCGTTATACATAGTGTAAAGATGCGCTAAATGTTAACGTTATTCTAGGCGCTTCAATGAAAGATGACTCTTATTTCACTTTAAACGGTCTTTATTTTGGGTATGTGATAAATAGAATATTAAATTCATGTAAGTTCATTACTGAATTTATTTCACTCGTTGAATAAAATAATATTATGCTAGCCAGAGGCTCGCATAATATAATTTTATTCAACTCGTGCAATAAATTCAGTATTGAACTTATACTCATTCAATATCCTCTATATAATGGAAGCAATAACCATATATGACTAAAACAGAAATTCGCATTAAATGTATATCAATTATTCAGTGTTCGCTATTACAGCATTCATTAAAACTACAACAGAAAAATCTTAATTTGTCTGTAAGCTGTATCTCAAAACACTGTTTGTTACAGCTGTTAGATAGATTATGAAACTTCTGTATACATGCATTATCATACCGGAAATGATTCAGAAGGGCATCTAGACTCTATAGCCACAAAGCAGTAAGTCAACTTATGACAAAATTTAAAGCTTTAAAGTTGGAGAAAGACCTCAGGTGCTTCATTATAATTTTAGGCACAAGCTGGCATCCAAGTAGAACCACCAGCCTTCCATAAGCTACAGTTTGATACTTTCCTTACAAGAAAGAGTTTGAAGTCCCTGATGAGATTCAAATCAACAGCAGTGAGGGACATATGGATCAAAGTAACCAACCTTGAATACTTTGCCACCGAGACTCCGCTGAATTTAGTAAGTTATTTTAAAGACATGTTTAATTACAGCAGTTCTCTTCATGTGAATAAAATCTTCTTAAATAAATATATAAAGTTATATATTGATAGTATACATACAGTATCTAGACCAGGGTATAACCCTCTTCCTGCCCTACTCTCACATATTTCAGCAAACTCATCTTGTCTGTTCATAAGATTAGCTGTGATAACATTCCCAGCATTCTCCGGAGACATTTGTGTGAGCTCATATAGTGGTGTCACTAACCTAGTTACAAAGTCTAGCTGGGGAGGATCTTGTATACATAGATCACAATAAAACTGTACCAGGTGACTGAATAATTTCTGTAACAAAAATAACATATAGATGACATTTAATGACAAACTGTACACAAGATCTGAAATACCGCAGATAATGTATTGTCCATGTTTGAAAAATCGTTATCAATATTAAGTTTTCTACTAATATCAATCAAAACAATAATGGAAAATAGCAATTTATTTATCATAAGTGATAGTTTTCAAATGAATAGAAATTACCTTAAAAGTTTAGAAAACATTTCAAACATTTACATCTTAAAATGCGCATAATATTTTCTCAGATTTAACTATCAAACATTTTTTTATTAGAATGTGATCTTTCTTAGTTCTTATTTTGAAAGCAGGAACATATGAACACTCTGCAAATGTAATCAATGTATATTTTCAAAACATAATTAACAAGATTTAGTGCCAATAAAAGATAGTACCTCTAATTTATCTTTGTTTCCCTCAGCTAGACTAGGATGGTGACATTTCCTTATTCTATCTATAATTGTCAACTGATCTACCATGTTATGTCCCTCCAGGATATCTAGAAGTTCATCATATGATGCTGGGGCTGTATAATGTCAGAAATATTTTGTAATGTAATATTTATACACCACAAATGTTCTAATTTTATTTCTCAAAAACTTTGTGTGTCCTGTTACAGTTTACTCTTTGGTAATTTACCTAAATTATCTTCCGTTTCTATTGCATATTGGAAATTAGTACATTTATAGTGATTATGTATTTAGCATTGAAGTAAAAATACTACTTTATTATATTTTGTTACTTTCTTGACAAATAATTTCACATTGGAAGCTTCTTCACTCATATGATAAGAATCTAACATGCTCTGAAACCATTATATAAAATTTAATGAAACAAAAGGGCTCGAATTTAACACTCGCAAACTTGCAAAATGCTAGTTGAAAAAAGATTTTGCGAGTTAGATTGATGACTTCTCGCAATTTTTTGCGAGTTGAAGAAAAAACAGAATATGCTCGTCAGGAAAATACGAAATATAAATGGGGCGTAATATTCGCAGGTGGCCGATTTATAAACTATGCGCGCACTTGCTGTCTGGTTTACATTTCCTCGCTTAAAAAAGTACATAAATTTAAACCAGTCCAAATGTCATTTTGTCCGTGTAATTCAAGCGTGATCAGAATAAAATATCTAAACGAAAAATAACGAACTTCTTCCCACTTAATGAAGCAAAATTTTTAATGTGTCTTCCGATAACAACACTCTGAGTACAGAAGATGATTCACAGTCTATCAAAAGAGAGACAACCAGACCTTTACTTAAACCGGTTAAAAAATGGGAGAAAGACTGCACGTCAGTCTTACGTACGAACTCGATGACGATGGAAATGTTGCCAAAATATTTTGCGCTGATTGTTGTGCGCATAATCTAGACCAGACATCGTCAGTATGGCGACAATATTGCATTATTATTTTTTTACATGTAGATTGACATTTGATAAGAATCCCTGTCCCCTAAATCAAGTTTTTGAGTAGAAAGTAACGTACCCCGGGCAGTTCGAACTCGTCCAAATAAATTACAATTTTAATTTTGTTATTCTCTATATCCAGCAACAACTTTGTCTTTCAGCACATCAAATAATTAAACTTAAAATTGAAGAACAAAAGTTTAAACAATTTTGGAATTAAAAAATCATTGTCGTAAAAAGTGCTAGTTGAATTCAGTTTTTGCTAGTTAAAAATTTGTCCACTAGCAATTTTTTGCTAGTGGCCAAAAAAGTTAAATTCGAGCCCTGAACAAATTCATTTGTTTTTTTGGGATGATGTAACTTTAACACATGTTAAGTTCTGAAAAAGAGAGATTATAACAAAATTGATAGGTATAATCAATCCCAAAACTAGGTTTGAGTTGAAAAATTTCTTATGCCCCCTAGCAAAGCTTACATAAGCAGTATCTAATTTTCAAATACAAACTGTATTAGAATGGATTATTTTTACAGACTATAAAAAATATTTCAGTACTAAACTTAAATTTTCCCCACCCAATACTTCTGAATAAACTTTGTAGAAAGGTTTATAAAAGCATTATATTACATTTATTGAAATGATTAAACAACCCACAAAATTAACAACTTTAAAATAACATGGGATCAATTGTATTATGACATCATTATTGAATTTTATTTGTACATTATTTGTGTAAAAAAGGTAATCTGAATGCAGTCAGATTTCTTAGCAGGCAAGATGAAACTGCTGTATGACTTTAAAAGACATGCAACAAAGTTCTCTCCCTTCACTAACTAATATTCTTCATAACTAACGAATCAATTAATCACATGGGTACAGAACCTGAAAACCCTGCCTGTAAACTTGTACACATGTAACAGGGCTGCCAACAGCAAATTGCAAAATCAGAGGAAAATACGCCGAGGTTCCAGGTGGGCTGCGCAAACCCCCTTTGCAGGTCCAGGGCAGAGCCCTGGTGGGGGGCCCCCGGAAGCTCCTGGATTCTGATGATTTGGTATGCCCTAAAATCAATTTCCTGGACTCTAAAGTTGACTTCCTTGGTTGCCTTTAAAGCCATTCAGAGACACTTTAGTTGGACTTCAGGTTTTCATCAGCCCTCAAAACAAATATCCGACATTTTGACAACAGACAAGAGCGACAATGTAAACTGTAATTTGATTGGTTATTCTAAAATAGAATGCCGGAAAAGACTCGATTTGACCAATGAGAAAAGCGCTTACAGACGTACCATAGACGGCTAGCGTAACGATAAAAGCCGAAGCTTGTCGGTTTTTGGGTACTGTATAAAATATGATGAATGAATTTATTGTCTTTGTCGAATTTACATCGATCTCAAAAATGACCCAGGAGCTCACGAAATCCGCAGATTTCCGCGAATCCGCGGAAAATCGGCAGCCCTGATGTAATCAGGATTTGAGATATTGTCTCTTTAGTTGAAATACAAGGCTGTAAATTTACCTTTGAATGTGTATGGTAATTCTTTATTGGCTTGTTCTATCATATTCAGTCTTAGTTTATCATCAACATGTTTCTGTTGTATATTGTCAATATCATCATCATCTTCTTCTTCTTTATCTGATTCCAGATCTTCATAATTATCTTCTTCCTCTGTAACAAATATCACACACTGTATACATTGCGAATGTTATAATAACATAACATCCATTATTATACATTATATACAAATAGCATACATTATATACATTGTATATTATAATATTACATCTATATGATATTTTATTTATGATATTTTATTTCAGTTGCAGTCACATCAGCATTGATAAAATTCATGTGACAGATTCCAAGTCTACCCGACAAAGGTAAACACAAAATGCTTAATAATGTAGTACAAAGTCTAACATTCACAGCAACCAAATTTCCTAGAAATGGTCCTAACTCCAGGACTTTTACTGATAGTGATTTACCTGTTTGCAAAAACAGAAACAACAAGAGCTGTCACAGGAGACAGCGAAGCTCGACTAATAAAATGCTGGACACAGTAAGGAGGACAAATCTATGAAAGAAAAATCAATTATGTATAATTATGTATTAAGTTATAGTAAAAAAATAACATTTGTTAACATAAATTCCAAGATCAAGGGGAATAATTCTAGAAATAGTCATGCTAGACCTTGCCACAGAACATTTGTGTAATGATAAGAAATATATATTTGAAGTTTGAAGTAGATACCTTAAAAAATAAAGAAGTTATTATATATCTTAAAGAAAATCCTAAGTTCAAAGAGAGATAAATCTGTAAATATTGCTTCAAGAGTTGTGAACATTGTCACATAAAATGTAATTGATGATAAGGAATAAGTATTTGAAGTTTGAGGTAGATACCTTTAAAAATAAAAAAGTTAAAATAAAAAATAACATTTTTCTAGTAAATAAATCTAAGTTTATGGGGAGATAATTCTTGCAATATTGGTGCTAGAGTTATGAACCTTGTCACATAAGATGTGGATGATGATAACGTAAATATATTTGAAGTATGAAGTTGATCCCTTTAGAAATAAATAAGTTACAGTAAAAAATAATATTTTGTATGGAAAATTCTAAGTTCAAAGAGAGATAAATCTGAAAATATTGGTGCTAGAGTTATGAACCTTGTCACATAAGATGGGGATGATGATAACGTAAATATATTTGAAGTATGAGGTTGATCCCTTAAGAAATAAAGAAGAAACAGTAAGAAATAGTATTTTTGAGGAAAATTCTAAGTTCAAGGGGAGATAAATCTGAAAATATTGGTGCTAGAGTTATGAACCTTGTCACATAAGATGGGAATGATGATAAGGTACATATATTTGAAGTATGAGGTTGATCCCTTAAGAAATAAAGAAGAATCAGTAAAAAATAGTATTTTTTAAGGAAAATTCTAAGTTCAAGGGGAGATAAATCTGAAAATATTGGTGCTAGAGTTATGAACCTTGTCACATAAGATGTGGTTGATGATAAGGAACATATATTTGAAGTTTGAAGTTGATACCTTAAGAAATGACAAAGTTATAGTGAAAAATATTTTACTGCACCAAAACTTTAATCTAAAATCTGGACGCGGACGCCTGGGCGAGTAGGACAGCTCTCCATATACTTCGTATAGTCGAGCTAAAAAATTCAAGTTGCTCACTTTTTCATTAGTTGTGGGTTAGTTTCAAATGATACATTATCTACAAAAGTTAATCTGCTGGGCAAAAAAAACCTATCAAAATAGATGTATGGGTTAACTCAATGAACTGCACACACCTGAACTACTTTCTTCATCTACAGTCTTTTCTTTGTCTCCCATATCATCTTCATTTTCAGCATCATCCTCATCATCATCACCACTAGCTTCAGCATCATTTTCATTGTCTATAAGCTCAACATCTTCACCATCGATGTCATCATCATCATCACCATCATTATCTTCATCATCATTTGCTTCTCTATTAAGTTCACCATCTTTGTAACTGACATAATCAAAGTCTTGTGGTTCCAAAGCAAACCTTTGATAGAAGTGAAACAACAATCTTTTAAAACAGGTACCAGTATAAATATAAAGTAAACAATTTTATGTTTCCAAAAAAAAAGTGCACCTTTAAAGCTTTTACTTGGATAGCTTACATAATTTTAATTGATATTTTAATAGTCTTTCAATGTCCTTTTAAGTATGAAACATTGGTAAATTTACATAAGATGAAAAGATAACAGAGGGTGAAATAGGGTCCGTATAACTGAATTTTAAAATTACCAGTACATTCTGGGATTACAAAAATTACAATCATACAGTACACAAATATCTATTATAAATAAAAGCAATTTATTATCCTATGAAAATCATTCTTAGATCAACAAAAACTGAGCAAAGTTATATCAATTACCCATCATCAAGGTCATCCGCTGATTTATGTTTAGGTTTAGATTGACTATCTTCCTCTGTCAGTCCTTTCATACGTCTAATTCTGTCAGCCTGTACAAACATATAACAACCTTTAAAATAATATTTGAGTACTGTAAATTCTCTCTGTTAAGACCACTGATGGGACTGACTCAAAGTGGTCTTAATAGTGAATTGGTCTTTATAGTGAATAAGCCATTTTAAGAAAATATGCAGTCCAACTTATCTTAATGTACATGTACTCATGCCTCAGACTTTGCTTTACATTTTTATCTTTCTCTAGATTTTAACTCTTAAAGTTTTCAAATTTAATTATATTAATTTTCTATTTCCAGGATACAATTTTTGATAGACTGAGCAAGCAATGATAAGAATGCAAACAAAAGTAAGACTGAGGTTTAAAAGTTTTTAAGTTATAGATCACTCTTTCTGGTGCATAATCTCATATAAACAATTTTATAACAATCAAGCATAACAGATGACAAAGAATTAAAACTTTTGATCTTACGAAATTTGCAAGAAAATTGGAAGACAAGAGGGCCATGATGGCCCTGAGGTCGCTCACTTGTATATAGGTCCCCCCCCCGGCAGGGCCAATTTTAACACAAGGGCTTTTATTTGAACAAACATGGTAGACACCCATAAGCTAAACATCTAAGCTCTAGCTCATTGGGTTTTTTAAAAGAAGTTTTTTAATTTTTTACCATACACATATAGTTAAACCTGGGGCGGAGCCAGTTTTGACCCCAGGGCTTTTATTTGAACAAACTTTGTAGACACTTACTAGAAGATGTTTCATGCTTAGTATCTAAACTCTAGCTATTTGGGTTATTTCAAAGAAGATTGTTAATTTTTTGCTATACAAATATAAGGAAAATCAATGACCCCTCGGGCGGGGCCAATTTTGACCCCAGGGCTTTTATTTGAACAAACTTGGTAGACACCCATTAGAACATATTTCATGCTAAATATCTCAGCTCTAGCTCTTTGGGTTCTTTAAAAGAAGATTTTTTAAGTTTTTACTATATGCATATAGGGAAAATCAATGACACCCTTGGGCGGGGCCAATTTTGACCCCAGGGCTTTTATTTGAACAAACTTGGTAGACACTCATTAGAAGATGTTTCATGCTAAATATCTTAGCTCTAGCTCTTCGGGTTCTTTAAAAGGAGATTTTTTAAGTTTTTACTATATGCATATAGGGAAAATCAATGACCCCCTGGGGCGGGGCCAATTTTGACCCAAGGGCTTTTATTTGAACAAACTTTGTAGACATGCATTAGAAGATGTTTCATGCTAAATATCTCAGCTCTAGCACTCTTGGTTCTTTAAAAAAAGATTTTTTAAGTTTTTACTATATGCATATAGGGAAAATCAATGACCCCCCGGGGCGGGGCCAATTTTGACCCCAGGGCTTTTATTTGAACAAACTTGGTAGACACTCACTACAAGATGTTTCATGCCAAATATCTAAGCTCTAGCTCTTAGGGTTTTTTAAAAGAAGATATTTTAAGTTTCTCCTTTCAGTTGCCATGGCAACCAGAGTTCTGCATGGAATTAAATTCTTTGAACAATTTTTAAAGGTGACCACCAAAGGAACATTCCTGTGAAGTTTGGATGAAATTGGCCTTGTGGTTTATGAGGAGATGTCATTTAAAGTAAAAGTTTAGCGACGGACGGACGCCGGACGGACAAAGGACAGATGGACGCCGGACGAAAAGCGATCACAAAAGCTCACCCTGTCACTTTGTGACAGGTGAGCTAAAAATTAACCCCAATCATGCTGAAGCTTGAATACTAAAGGTATATCATAAATCAAGCATCTTATAAACCAAGATAGATAATGACTTCAATTGTCAGTATAATGATTATTTTTCTCAATGAGCAAAGAAAGCAAATATTTTGTACTTTTGAAAAATGGCTTAATATGTTGTAATAAGAATTTAACATGGAAACAGGTGGCACAGGACAACTTTAAGATAATTTCTTCAAAGTGAGTTATACATATATATTTACCTCTAACTTTTCAAGTCTTTCTTTTTCATCTTTGGCAAGCTCTTCCTCTGACTTTAATCTGTCTGTAGCCTGGAATCATAGTTCTAATAACATTTAAACATTGAAGAAATTTTCATACTATTTAATTATACATAAAGTATTGAAAAACAATGAGTAACATGCAAACAACACAACTTTCAATTAAATACATATGTAAACCCTGCTTACCAGATACAACAAAGACATTTTAACTAGGTTGTGTACACTTTCTATTGTGTAACATTTACATAATTGTTCTTGTACTCTTTTATTCAATGTAGACAAATCTAAATAGCATGTAAATTCAATTATATATTCAGCCATACAAAAGATACAAAACTTTTAAAAAAGAAATTCTATTTACTAAAATACAAAATTAAAGCAACAAAACTCTAACTGTACAACTTTAGTATAAGGTAAACTTACCTGGCCTTTCATTTCGAATTGTAAAGATCTAACAGCAATGTCATAGTCATCTGTTGTTTTCTTCACTTCATCATCACTCTTACCCTGAATAATAATAATAATATATAGCTCACTTGCCCTGAATAATAATATACAATAGTTAACTTGCCCTGAATAAAAATATACAATAGTTAACTTACCCTGAATAAAAATATACAATAGTTAACTTGCCCTGAATAATAGTGTACAATAGTTAACTTGCTCTGAATAATAATATACAATAGTTAACTTGCCCTGAATAAAAATATACAATAGTTAACTTACCCTGAATAAAAATATACAATAGTTAACTTGCCCTTAATAATAGTGTACAATAGTTAACTTGCCCTGAATAATAATATACAATAGTTAACTTGCCCTGAATAATAATATACAATAGTAAACTTGCCCTGAATAATAATATACACTAGTTAACTTGCCCTATACAATAGTTAACTTGCCCTGAATAATAATATACAATAGTTAACTTGCCCCGAATAATAATATACAAATGTTAACTTGCCCTGAATAATAATATACAATAGTTAACTTGCCCTGAATAAAAATATACAATAGTTAACTTGCCCCGAATAATAATATACAATAGTTAACTTGGCCTGAATAATAATATACAATAGTAAACTTGTCCTGAATAATAATATACAATAGTTAACTTGCCCCGAATAATAATATACAATAGTTAACTTGTCCTGAATAATAATATACAATAGTAAACTTGTCCTGAATAATAATATACAATAGTTAACTTGTCCTGAATAATAATATACAATAGTTAACTTGTCCTGAATAATAATATACAATAGTAAACTTGTCCTGAATAATAATATACAATAGTAAACTTGTCCTGAATAATAATATACAATAGTTAACTTGTCCTGAATAATAATATACAATAGTAAACTTGTCCTATACAATAGTTAACTTGCCCTGAATAATAATATACAATAATTAACTTGCCCTGAATAATAATATACAAATGTTAACTTTTCCTGAATAATAATATACAATAGTTAACTTGCCCTGAATAAACATATACAATAGTTAACTTGCCCTGAATAAAAATATACAATAGTTAACTTGCCCTGAATAATAATATACAATAGTTAACTTGCCCTGAATAATAACATACAATAGTTAACTTGTCCTGAATAATAATATACAATAGTTAACTATACAATAACCTCTCAACTACACCTACTAGTACATTAAAGACATTTTAACTTCTGTGTAGAAATATCAGTTAGTTCTTATCACAGCCTTAGTCCTAATGATTTAGCCAACAGCAAATTCTACTCTTGATGGATACATATAATCCTTGTAGTGTAATCAGACTCTATATTGTTGGTAGCTCAAGTTTTTGTATTATGATACTGAAATCCTTTAAACTTTGAATTCAAAGCAGGGCAAATCCTTTACACAAATTCAACTTGTTAAGAGTTAAACATTTGGATTTCACAAGTAAAATACTGGTTTTCAAAGTTTGAAAAAATTAGGAAATTGGATGGACTGGCAAAATCTGATTCAATTTACTTTCTTTTTTATATGAAACATACTTTTACTTGTATGCATGATATTTATAATGTAAATTCTTGGAACATTTTCACTTGTCCATAACAGCTTTGGGGCAACCTGGGCAATTGATTTTTCCGCCCCTGCTTGGGATTACTTTAAATTTAAATGTAGTATAAAACTTGTTTGGACAATAGTTACAGGTTGCTACAGAAATAACTGTGAAAGTAACCTACCTTCATTTTATTTATACTAATGAGAGAATGTAATGATTTCCATTGTTCATCTAATTCTACTGTCATCTGAACTGTTTCTTCTTTCTCCATTTGTCTCTCATGCTGAAACATAAACAACATATCAATATTATATCTTCAATTCTTAATATCTAATTCTAGTGTTTTTACAGTAATATGCTCCATTTATTTAATTTTACCCATGAAATATGGTGCTATATCAGTCAAATATATTTCATATTTTTAAAAAATAAATATGAAATATAACGGAGTCAAAACTCATATTTATTTTAAGGGACTTCTTTCCCCATTTTGTTTGAAAAATCTGATAAATACAAAACAACTTTTTGTTGAATTTTGCTTTGAAAACTATCTAGAATGATAGAAAATGGTCTAACAAAGAAAATAAATCTAAACACCAATATCTTTAATTGAGTTATTAACGCTGTACAGACGTTTAAACAGTTGTTTATGTGACGAAACAATGTAGCGTCAATTATCGTGTGCAAAACAAGACGCAAAAATATATTATTGCACGCTGTACAATTGCAGTTGCGTAGTTCATAACCATTTTCTTTGATATTGAAATTAAATAAAAAGGTTATTTTTTCGTTTTTCGTGAAATATTGAATATATTTTCTGGCTCGTGAAAATATGTGGCATTTTATCATTTTTTGTAAAAATACATTCCATATTTCACACAAACGAGAAAATATCCTCTTAATATTAACTGTTGTTTTAATAAAATTTGCCAGTTTATGTGAAATCATCATCAGAAACCTTTTGACACATTTCACCTTTATTTTTTACTGCTTGGGTTTTATTTACGTCACACCAACACAGTATAGGTCATATGGTGACTTTAAAGCTTTACTAATGAAGGAAAACCTCTGGTGTCCTTCTATGTGTTATTTCAGGCACCAACGGGCTCCCAAGTAGAACCACCAACATTCTGTAAGCTAGCTGGAAAGCTTCCTCACTAGTAGAATCCAAAGTCCCTGTCAGAATTCTAACCACAGCTGTGAAGGCCAAGTTGTTTGAAGTCCAACTACCTTAACCACTTGGCCACGGACGCCATAAACACTCCAGCTGTAGTGGTGTACAATGAGGCTTTTAAAGAAAGTAAAGCAACCTTGGCATAAACTTTTATAAGTACTATCTTTTAATCACTGAATGTCTAAAGAACAGTTTTGAGGTAAGTAAATTAGACTTTATATCTGCAAATATTGCTTCTTGGTAATGTATTTGTGGGAGGGATCACTTAAGGAATCTAATTTGCATAAATTTTGCTTTCACCTTTTTCTTTTTTGAGTCTTTAATCATGTCCTCCATTCTTTCTTTCCACGACTTCTTTTCATCTTCAGGGTCTCTTCTCTGCATAAAACCTCCAAAATGTTCTGTGGCAACAAGCTTAGCTGAAACAATCCAAACAGTATTGAGTTATACAAGTAAGGTCATAATTGCTCATGTGACCACATGTATTAAGCAAACTTTTTTCTTCAGCAACCATTTTGAATTCCATCAAATCATTAGCTTATGATATCAAATAGGTCAATGAAACTCATCAAGCCTTTGTGTTTTTAAAGAAAAACTTTATGAAAACAATTGTGTTAACAACGAAACAACCGGTGTCAACAATCTCTGAACAGAGGAAATTCCAGAACTGAAAGCAAATGCAAATTAAGTTATGTAGGGTGATTTATTCAATAAAATTGATAAGACACACACTGTTCCTGTCAGTTGTCTGCAGTAAATTGAGTGTGTACCAGGAGTAGAACCACTGTTCTGTCAGTTGTCTGCAGTAAATTGAGTGTGTACCAGGAGTAGAACCACTGTTCTGTCAGTTGTCTGCAGTAAATTGAGTGTGTACCAGGAGTAGAACCACTGTTCCTGTCAGTTGTCTGCAGTAAATTGAGTGTGTACCAGGAGTAGAACCACTGTTCCTGTCAGTTGTCTGCAGTAAATTGAGTGTGTACCAGGAGTAGAACCACTGTTCCTGTCAGTTGTCTGCAGTGAATTGAGTGTGTACCAGGAGTAGAACCACTGTTCCTGTCAGTTTTGTCTGCAGTGAATTGAGTGTGTACCAGGAGTAGAACCACTGTTCCTGTCAGTTGTCTGCAGTGAATTGAGTGTGTACCAGGAGTAGAACCACTGTTCCTGTCAGTTGTCTGCAGTGAATTGAGAGTGTACCAGGAGTAGAACCACTGTTCCTGTCAGTTGTCTGCAGTAAATTGAGAGTGTACCAGGAGTAGAACCACTGTTCCTGTCAGTTGTCTGCAGTAAATTGAGTGTGTACCAGGAGTAGAACCACTAACACATAGTAAGCTAGCTGGATAGCTAGCTCACATGTAATAATTTGAAGTTCCTGACGGGTTTTAAACCCATGACAGTGAGGGGCAAGTGGTTTGAAAGCAATGACCCTAACTACTCTGCAACAGATGCCTGTAACTATTTATTATGAAGATGAGATATAAATAGGACTTAACTTTCAATTAATTTAAATATACTATGTTTATAATACACCTATTCTGATTTAAGGTGCTATAAAGTAATATTCAATTGATAGGATAAGGTTTATTACCAGCTGCTCTTTTGTCATCATCATCGTCATCATCATCACTGATGACTGGTTCATCAAACTTTTCTATATCAGCTAGAGACTGTCCATAATGTGTTAACTCTTCCTCCTCATTTAAGTTAAACTTGTTCTTTACTGTTGATTTCTGTAATGCATAATTAAATACAGATTATATAAAGTTATAAAGTAATCACTTTTCACATTTGACCAATTCAAGTGGAAAATTATTGGTTTTGGGGAACAACCTATCAGGTGTACAAATATTCAAATATGGGTAAAAACATTCTGCCAAGGTGAAGTATCCTTACATGTATTGGGGGTATATAGTCCATAGAGACAGAAGATCAAAACCAGAACTTTGCTTATATGACTCCCATTAACTGGAATAGTAATTCTTTATTAAGAAATTAAATGAACAAAGTGTATACAACAATTGTTTGGATTTTCAAATATGACTATCTACAGTCAAACCTGTGTTAAAGACCTCCTCTGAATAAAATCATCATGTAAATAAAAGCCACTTTACAACAATCCTTCATTGATTTAAAAGAACAAAGTAACCTCCAAATAAAGCCCACCTGTGTCTCCAAAGGACATGTTTGGTCTCCCTCTTGAATGACCTATGTTCACACGTTTGACTGTACCTGACTTTTAATAAAAGATCCCATGTTGAAACACTACATTTCAAAATTGTTTTTCGAGCTTGTATTAAAATTCGAAAATAGTTAAATTACCAAACAACAAAATTTAAATCAATGCCTCTCTTTAAAAAAATTGAAGCTAACGAAATGATTTAAGCTTACAGATCTTTCCATAGCATATCTTTTCATCATTTTCTCCTCCAATGACAAGGCTGCATCATGCTCTCCTATTCTTTTATCAATGAAACGATTCTTCTTGAACTGTTGTTCATACTCCTTCAGCAAGGTTGCCTTCCTCTATAAAATGGGTTAAAACTTTATGTGACTTTATCATTAAGTTAGTAAAGATTTATCAATAACAATGTAGAAAAAAACTCAGCAGCACCATTTTTTTTCTTTTTCGTAAATTATGCATACTTCTATTACCAAACATAAGCAAATACTGGCAATCCTTAGTCAGCCCTTGATTTAATACAAGAAATTATCCTGTCTAAGGAAGAATCTACAGATTTTACAACAAACTTAAATATTTATGAATGAAAATTATCACAGGCAAACCTTATTGTGTAGAAAGTAAGCATTGTAAACACATGCAACTGTTAGCAACTGACAATAGAAGAAAATGTAACAACTTACCCTCTTTGTTGCCTTAGACCTTGAAACACCAGGCATGCCCTTATCAAATTTTGACATTTTTCTACCGAGAATATCATGTTTTTGTCTGTTCACTTTCACTTCAAAAGGATTTATCTTCTTCTCCTGATGTTTTCTCTTATTTCTTGTATGATCAGCAGTGGATTTGTTCTTTTTCTTCCCCATTGTGTAGTTGTTACTCAAAATCTGTAAATTATAACATGTGGTTATGATTCATTTTGAAGTCCATAGATCAAAATAACATATTAAGTTCTCTGGAAAAATCACAAATATATAAGTAGAATGTATAGAATAATTAGTTGTATATATCAAAAGACTTTATTAATGGTGATTGATCAATAATTGACTATTACAAATATTTACAAACTGAACATTGCTGATAATTTCCAAAGAATACTCAGAGCTTCAGATAGCATGTGTATCAGTGTGAAATATGCATAGAAAATCTAAAATACTCATCACTTTAAGAATTTGTGCGTCAAAGTTACGCACAACAAAATAAAAATACGCTTGTATGTCAGAATATAAGCATGAAGAATAGAAGTGTAAACATTTGATAATTAAAAAGGGAATGTTTTGAACATAAAAATACAAAATATTTCTATTTTATTGCATTAAAAACTGAAAATTCTGTTGTCAACGACGCATGTTAAAAGCGAAAGAAGCAGGAAGTACAGAAGGGAGGTAATTCCCGTACCTGAAATTATTGATAAAATTGATAACATACAGTATAAAGTTTGTTTAGACATCCATTGTCACCACAAAATCATTCATATTTCTTACAGTACAAAATACCTGCATTTACTTATTATCTACAAAGTCCAAGATAGATGTGGTTTATATACTGAAAATTTTATGGTTGTTATCAAATTAATTATAAGAACTTTTTCCATAGCGCATAATGCTTACAGGGGTTATTGATTCCTTTGAAGTCGTTTATCATAAAAATTAAAATTGTAAACAAATATGACAAACTGTAGAGTTATTTCAATTTTACCACTCACCATTTACTCTTGGGTGGACATAAGAACTGTTCATTATTTAGCAATAGGGCACAAGATGTGTAAGCGGCCAGCTAGCTCAGTCGGGCAAACTGTGCAGCCTGACCGGGACTAGTTCTGGCTTCCATAACTTTATATGTCGCTTTTATTTTGACGTTGTGTGACAGTAGTTATGGGTCAACCCTATTTACAAAGGCTACCAGAATTTTGGCAGTTTGTGTGCCGTACATAAAACCTATTAAAATCACCCTTATTAATCAAATCTGGGTTGTATAAAAATACCATTTGATAAACAAATCAATTTTGAATCAATTCATGTTGTTTTTTTTTAAATGAAACTTCAATTACATTGTGTATCCAACTATATGTTAGGGAAATATGTAGAGAATGTTTACTATATGGAGTCTGCTTTGAAATGAAATCTAGCGGTTTTGGGAATTCTAGCATCTATTTTTAGTAACAGACCATACACTATTTTTAGTAAGTGTATGATTTTAAATAAAAACAAACAAATAATTCATGAATCATCACTCAAAACAACATAAATCCAACATGTTTTTGGTACAATGTCTGTTATTGAATAAATACACCATTATTCATAATTGCAAAGTCATGATTTCAATTAAAAATAGCATTTGGGTCACGGGTCACCAAATGTCATGCAAAGGTACATGTAACCTAAATTCTCGCTAGTCACGTGATAATTAGGGCAGCAATGGCGACGAATTTTATGAAATGTGAACCCACTGATAAACTTTGGGGCATTATTTCATCAATCTAACGTTCTGTGTTCAAAAATATAGAATGAAGTGTCCCAAATATATCTAACTACCTGTATTAAAATAGCTTTTGTTCAGATCACGCAAATTTATTGAATTTCAGCAGGACATAAATATGTCATGGTTCTGGTTGACTTTCGATACGGGATTGGCTTCAGCGAACAGGTCTAGCAGTACTATAAAACCTGTTCGCTGAAGTCTCTTTAGCTAGACCGGGACTAGCACCAAGGACCCTTGCAACACCGGTCTGCGCCACTACTTACTGCTTACTTAGTCCTAATTATAAGACCTATACGTAACCTATTTCATTTTTATCATTCATTAATCTGATATTTTACATTTTTCATTTTACATGTTACGTTAGGTCTTAACAGATCTTTGTAAAATCGTGTAGCAAAAAAATTGACATTAGACATCGATTTAGATCTAATGAATTTAAACAATTAAAACAGCGTGTAATTACATTAATTTTGACCTATTTATGAACAAAACTAAAAAATAAATACCCTTTAACAAATAATTGAACTGTCACGTCCGAAAAGTCATGATTAAGTCCTCTCATTTAATTAAATTCTTTGTACAGCCGATATACAAATGGCCGCCATACAATGCGCGAAATCTGATTGGCTAATTCAAATGCAAGCGTTTAAATGAGTCCAGAAGTTTCTAACGGAATATTTTTTCAACGAAATAATTGCCCATGCACTGTAAGTGTGTTGGAATATATTTTTCCGTTCAAAAAATTGGAATCAATCTGTAAAACGCTTTACTTTACCAGTATGGCCGATGAGCGAAATAGACTGATATTTATACGGGGAAGTCAAAGACCGGGCCCGCGAAGCGGGTCCGGGCTTTGGCTTGCCCGGCTATAGACTACACGTGTATATTTAAAAGAAAATCAAATAAAAAACATTTCAAAAATATATAGAATTCTATACCTATCAATGAAATTTTCAGTGTCAGTTCTACTCGGGCGCTGCCATTTACAATGTAACTCAATGATAAAAGGCGTGGTATTCCGATAACGGAACAAATCTCAACTTTTCGGATAAATAATAAACGTCGAGTGTTCCGAGTGAAAACGGAAGCGGTGCATGTAATACCGAATGACAATTTTAAAACGAAAAGAATGAAAGGAATTTTTTAACGACTTCCCCGTTCATAGGCTTTGCCTAATTTCATATTATTTTATTTTTAATTGATAAGTGCATTGTTTGAAAGTTTTTGTTAATGATAGACCATGCAATTGAAAGAACAGAAGATAAGCTTCTGAATAAAACTTGAAAGGCAAGTCAACAGACATTTTTTATTATTTTCAAAATGCTACGCGTTTATGAGCAATAACTATTAGACGTCAGGCTTGACCAACAAAAAACTATAACAAGCCTGTAACGTCTAATCTATAAATTTGGACTAACTGCTTACTGAGCTATCCAGTTGCTTACATTTCTTCTGGGTCAAAGTGCCTAAATCTTACAAATCATAAATTTATAAATAGTTCATTAACATCATGAAATCCTAGATCTGATAAAAGCCTGTTTGGCTCTGCTCTGCAATTTTTCAACTAAAGCTATCGCGAATATATGGGACAATTACGAAAACCATAATTCAGAGGAGAAAGGTTTGTCATTTAGGATTTCCGAAGAAAGCAGAAAATAATCTGATTTCATTTTAAAATGTAAATATGTCTCACAACAGTAAATTACAAGTGTTAAAATTAATAATTTTCTCACGTGTTTTCTTTTCTTGTGTGTGCTAGCTTTCAAGCAAAATTTACGTATTTAGAATAATCTATCACAGTACGATATAATGAACAAGAAATTTAGAAAATCAGTTAGGAATCACTGCAGTTATACATCATAAATAAACTGCCAAATATTTAACATTAAAACTTATTATTCAAATTCGACACTAATGAAATTTACTTTCGTGCAAATAATTTCCGTACCATGTAGAATTCGTACATAAAATTGTTCGAAACAAATACTGCGCAAATCTACATTGAATTCTACAAAGATTAAGGATCATTAATCTAAATAAAAGTAGACATGATCCACTCCCTTAATTTTCGTCAAACTGAGCTCAGAAGTTTATATGCTTTGTTCACGTATTTATATTATGTAATATAAATCCGTGGCTATGTTATCCGTTTTAGGAGCTAATTGGTTTCCGCTCCAACTCCCTCCTCCCGCATATGCCTCGCGAAGGGTACGACATAGTTTAAATATATATAGATCAAAGGGCTGCAAGCTCTGTGGTATTTTCTGATATTTGCAATCAAAATCGTACTGTATATCTGTATGTATTTTCCTGTATAAGCTTATTTTTATGTACTATAATTCATCTTGCAGGGCACCAGTTTGATAGATACGGAATTTTTTATAACTAGAGTTGCATCAAAAAATCATTTATGTTCATTTTTTATGACAGACACACTTTATCCTTGCATATCGTGGCTACTTCCTTAAAAAAGACACTTAAAAAAATAGATGGCTCGACTGGGATTTGTACCTCTCACACATTACACGAACGCGTTACCCCTGCACCACGTAGAAGTTATACAAACGATGCCTGAATAAAATCAAGTAATTCTAAATTTAGAATTTCCATTGCATTTCGGGTTTGAAATCGTTATTAATTTCGAGGTATTTTGTTCACGATAAACCTGTTGTTTAAAATTGATGTAAATAATTTAGCGAAAATCTTCTCGCCAAAACAGTTCGACATGTATAGAATCTACATATTCCACTATTCGACAGTCAGATTTATTTGTGTAGTATTCGGTAATCGACATTGCTAAAAATAGCATTTTTATTTTCGTCCGCGTAATTTGTGATTGTGCATTTATTGACAATTCTATAAGCCAACGCTACTTTTAAACTTTGATTACGTTATAATTTGTTAGATACTTGTAACAAAATAAAAATATTTCTTTTAAATCGCTAGTTTTAAGCTGTTTTGAGAAATACTTGTTGTTATAGGTGTCAGTAACCGCTGTGTCAGAGATTGAATGTCAGCTTTAAATAGACTGATATGTTTTTTTATAGAAAGAAGATATATGAAATGTTATTACTGGTAAAGTTTAGCGGCATTAAATCCATGTAAAATGCTAAAACCAATTTTTAATTAGTTTATTTGAAACATATTGACATAATTATATAATCATAGCTCTAAAATATTAAGGAATAACGACAAGAATAAATCATAAGCATTTTAAGGATATAAAAGTTTCATTATAAAAAGGTTTATTTAGCCTACCAAAATTCCGTGTAACATCTTTTTTCAATAGCACTGTGTAGAAATCAGGTTGAAAAGACACGGACAAATTAGTTTGTCCAGCTGTAAGCATTTCATTTGAATTTAAGTGAAGGCAGGCTGATATATTTTAACTTGCAACATCGTTTATTTACTTATATGATTTAAAACATTACTGTATCTAAGTAGGACCTTGGCAAACACAAAATGTTATGATCTTTGCCCAGAATGCTACCAACCTCTGTGTGGCAATGCTTCACGTATTACTCCTTAATGGTGTCAACAATACTCTCCACAATACTCCATTGCATTGCCCTCAGTCGTTGGTGGTGGTGTATTTTCTTTCTTTTCTTTTCATTTCTTTTTCTTTTATACCAGCTTTTATTATGATGATTACCAATGTTTATATTACAATATTATACGTATATTCATGATTACTTCATTGTATTTTTTATTGCAATATCATGTTTGTTTTATCTTGATGTATTTTGGGTCGGAGGCCTATATGTCACAAGAAAAAATAAACTTTACTAAAAAACTTTACTTTTTCCCAGGAAAATGACTTATATCATATGCAATAAAATTTCTTTTTAACTCTTCAGCACTTCTATCTACATTACGCAAATCATCTGTCCAAAGAGAATCCTCTTTGGATAAAAATATTAATTAAGAATTAATTGATGTATCTATTAGTTTGACAGCTTTATTAATAAAATTGGCTTTGAACAAAGCATGTTTTAAACTTTAAACTTTTAAGTTTAGCGAGACCCTTCTACTTGACTAGAGCTGGTACGAGTATTCGAGTACCCGGGTATCTAGTCAGATAACACATCTACCCAGACACTGAATCATCATTGCACGGGTATCTGTAAATCATATAGTAAAGCTTAGTTATTTTATATCTTGATAGCCCGATCTGTCTTTGAATCAAATCTTAATAATTTCACCAGAAATATATAAGCCTGTAAGGAACACTATTCCAGGAAAAGAAAACTAAAACAAGTTAAATCATATGTCATATCGCTGTCGCAAAACATCAATAAATGTTTTAGTGATACTTGTATTAATCATACATTTCATAGAGATAAACTTAGTTTCTTAAATGATTTTGTCGGAACAATTAACCATGCGACAAGACGTCACCGTAACGTACGCAGATCATCGACAATGTCTGATTTTGGAACTTGGTTCACGCTGTGAACAAAAAGTTCAAGGGGCTCAGACTTCATGGTAAGTGATTCCTCCGACGACGCATGCGTACTTTAGAGATATGCACCATGAATTTATTGTACTTATTCAGAAATTAATTGCATATTCAACTGACGGACCTTAACTTGATCGTTGATTTATGATCGTATGACCAACAGCGCTGAAACAAGTTCAGATTGAATTGAAGTTGTCGAAATGGTCACAAAAACATATTGCCGGATACGATAAGTCTGGGCATCTTAAATGATTCCTTTTCCATTGAGCAATATTGATCTGACTTGGTAGGCAAGATATTCTCTGGTCATATTCAAAATATTCTTTGTTTACGTCATCACAAAGTTCAATTATATCACAAACGATAAACTATTGAGAACTGATGTGTTTCTTTAGCTTGATATAAGTGCTTAGTTTGTTACCATTTTATATTCAAGTAGCCAATGTCATATACATAAACGAGTCTTGAAAGAAGCTGGTACTCGGGTACGCACGGATAATACAATTGCGGGTCTCCAGGTACAACATTCCTATATATCCATCCCAGCTTGTAAGAAAGATAATTTCAAATAACTGCAAAATGTATGCAATAATCTGCTACACTGTTACTTAAAGCAATCATTTTAACATGACCTGCATTTTTCCAAATTGAACATAAAATGTGTGTGTAATTCCTCGAATCCGAACTCGAAACAGTGATTTTAGTTAGCGTTAAAATCACTGTTGGGGAAATATAATTTCTTAAACAGATGCATTTTTGTCTCAGATAAAGTGTATTATAAATATATACATATTTAAACTGACCTTGAACTCATGTACGCATGTCCAAAAGAAATAAGTTATCTGTCTATATATATATATATATATATATATATATATATATATATATATATATATATATATATATATATATATATATATATATATATATATATATATATATATATGTATATATATATATATATATATATATATAGACAGATATATATATATATAGACAGATATATATATACGAGGGATGATCAAAAATTAACCGGACTTTGTAGATGACTCTTTACCTGTTAAATAAATTTACATAAAAATACACGGAAAATAAATCGGAATATATCCCCTGAATGATACAAAAAATACCAACAAGAAATATTAACAAAGAAAAAAGTTATGCTGTTATTGGCATGTACATGTAAAGCAATGCGGCGCAAGGTATAACTTTAAAATTGTCGTTAACGACGTCACAAGCGTATTTTTCTAAACGGAGCAGTTTTTTACTCATTCACGGGGTAGCCCAATACGTGGTACAGTCATGTTGTTGATGCGGCGGATCCACTGCCTATATATATTTCTGTACAAGTGGGTATCATATTGTATTGTAAAAGAATGGATGATGATAAAGAGCTCCTGTAATGACGCAAACTTCCGTTCTTTCCTTCTGTAACTTGATTGTTGGAAAAATCGCACATGCAATAAACTATATTATGTATTACAAATAATGTAAAATAATGTTGCTGAATGATAATGTATCATACATAAGAAAAACTAAAAGAATAATACAACTATGAACAAAATTGTCATTATTTTAAAATAAATAAAACTCATAGCCGATTTTGAACAGTGACTGTCTAATTGTTGACACAATTTCTCCTTAAAACTTCTGCGTAAGATAAGACAATAATTTATACAATTTCAATCCAAGAATACAATATATGTAATTAATGCATTAATCATTATCATTTTAAAATCCTTAGAGTTGACTGCACCGTCCCGTAGCTACTGTCGAACATCGTTGACAATTTCCGCAGTCAATCGACGGCCATTTTTCAACGTCTTGGAGATTGACGTCACCAACGTCCTTGAAAATTTCTTTTTTTCTGTCTCTCCCTTACTTGTTTTCTATTTTTTCTATTACCGTTTCTTAATTCTTTATGCTAATAAAATAATATGCTGTGGTTTTCTGGGACATTTCCCGTGATAGCCATAATCTTTTTCTGCGTTTTAAACAGTTTCTCGTCTTATTTTTGACACATTTTTCTTATTGATCGATTTTCGAGACATTCCAACGATATAGTTTTAACGGGGGTATTTCATTAACATGTGACGTTTGAATAGTGATTGCAAATATAAATATGGTTTAAATGAAGTCATTGTTACTGACAACGTCAAAGATTTGGTTCCTGACGATTTGGCGTACTTTGAAATCTAAATGTGCCATATTGTAAAATATACGCAGCTTATGGCGCCTGGTGTCAAGGCGAATTTACGCACTGCGCCGGGCGTGCGTTACCATGGTTTGTTAATTCGCTGTTACGGAGAAGTTTTTTGCGTTATCAGATTAGATAAAGCATCAGTTTACAGGTATTGTTTTCCGATTAAGTGTGATATATAACAATAAGTGATA